GTGACGGAGGCAGCCCAAGCCCCAGCAGAGCTTCCCTGTGTCAGCACCACAGCCTTAGATCTGCAAGCCTTCCTTCCAGGCCTGCCCTTTACTGATCCTCACAACACTGCAAGCCTTGGAAAAATGCAAATCACTTTCTGAAACTCTTTAGCTTGTTGTCTGCCACTGGCTTCGTTTTACCACCTAGAACAAAATCCAAACCTCTTTCTGTGGACCCCTAGCCTTCCAAGTCCCCTGACCTCTCCTGTCCCTCTCTAGAGCCCTTGCCCACCTTGCTCTGGCCACAGTGGCCTTCTTTCACTTCGTGGAACACACCAAGCTCACATCCACCTCTCCAGCATATTTGCCTGGGCTATTCCTTCTGCCTGGCTGACAGTGTCTTTTTGTTCAAGCCTCCAGGGAAATGGCATCTCTCCAGTAAAGTCTCTTAGTCACGTAACAGAGTCCCCATTATGAAAATTATAATTTTTTTTCTCTTACAAGAAAGAGAAAAATTTAGATTTTTCCCTCCTTAAATTTAAAAACCAAAGAGCATGTTGTTTCTTCTGAAATTAAAAAAAAAAAGCAACAACAACAACAACAAAAAAAAACACCTGAATAAACTCTCTATTTTTCACTTGAGCTTAGTTACCTGCTTTTATCACAGTTTTAGAAGTTGCTTAACTAAACAGTAAGGTAATAGAGCCCTGCTAGTCTTACAGCTCTGATGGGTGGTCAGCTTGGTAATGCTTTTGTTTTTAGGGATTTGGAGCTAAAATCCCTAAAAACTAGCTCAAACTAGTTGAAGTCATCAACCCTTTCACTTGGGCCTGTATAATATCTGATGGGCAATCTTTTGACATCAAAGAGCCAAAACCTCTGCCCTCAGGTCATGCTAAGACTGCCATTTTTCTGAACATACATCCTGTGAAGAGCCATGAAGTTCAACTACACATTTGCAGACCACTGATCACCTCACTTTTCCTTACCTCCAATTACCTTTCCCCACACCACTCTGTTTCTTCATCCTATAACTATCCTGAAATCCTATCCTCTAGAAGGTGGAATTGAGTCTGGGGTACCCATCCTCCTATTTRGTTGCTTCATGAGTAAACTCTTGCAAAATTCGCAGCTTCAGGGATTGGCATACTGGGCGACAGGCAAATGAGCCTGGCTCAGAAAGAGTCTCTTGCTCTCTGCCACTTTCCTGTTTGTACCATGTTTCCCGTAGCTAGAACACAGGTTCCATCAAAGAAGGAGCCTGTCTTTTCTGTTCACCTCCAGTGTTTGCAATTCTTATCAGAATGTCCCCTCCACAGTAGGTACACAAAGTACCTTAATTCTAACCCCAGGAAGCATGTGTTATTGTTGCTATTTTTCAACCCCGGTCTTAAAGAGACGACTTGAGGTTGTATTTCTTTCAGGGTCCTAACCACGATTCCAATACAGATTTTTGAGTTGCAGAGGCACACATATTCTAGGGGCCTGGAGTGTGCTAAAAACTCAGTGTCATCAAATTCATTCAAGCAAACTGTCTTTGACTCGGAGCCTGCTGTCTGCTTTACAGGATTCTGATGCACGCTGCATTCAAAGAGTGGTGCTGACAGGCCTATTGCAATCAGAGAAAACCATGACAAGGACATGTATGGTGGGCTCTTGAACCAAGGAGGATTAAGAACTCTAAAGTGCTCAGTGGTGTAAAGGGATTATTCATGGTGAGTCACCTTTTTAGGGGAGGAGCACAAGGCTGTGTAAAGTAAGCTTACCAAAGGGTTTCTTTTGTTTTAAAACTAGACACACACCATCAACTTCTGACTGGATAAACAAAATGCAGCCCAGCTACCCATTGGGATATTATCCAGCATAGGGAGGAATGAAGTCAATACTCACGGCAACAGCGAACAGCCTTGAAAACTTCATGGTAAGTGAAAGAAGCCAGACACAAAGGGCTACATGGCATATGAAATAGCCACTAATAGGAAATTTCCTAAATAGGCAAATCCATGGAGGCAGGAAGTAGATTAATAGGTGCCAGGAGCTAGGGGGAGTGACGGCTTAGTGCCTCTGGGGTTTCCCTTAGGGTGATGACAGTGTTTTGGGAGAGGACAGTGGTGGTGGTTGCACAACACTGTGAAAGAACTGTTCCCGAATGGCACTCTGTCAAGTGATCAAAACAGTCAGTTTTATATCATGTGTATGGTACCACAATTGAAAGCAATGACTGAGGAATAGGAAAATGGTAGTTCTGCTTTTCAGCCACTTTTTGATAAATATGTAGAACTCTGTCACCTGTCAAGGGAGCTAATGTACAACACAAAAACAATTGTACTGTGTTGCATTTAGAATGTTTGCTAAGAGTAGATTTTAGGTGCTCTTGCCACAAAAGAGAGGGAGTAACTATGTGAGATGATGGATATGTTAAGTTACTTTAAACATAGATTAATTTTAAAAATAAAATTAGGTATTTTAAAATCTCATAGGTTGTTCCACAGAAAGAAAAAAAGGTGAAACAAATAGATTTACTAATAATTAGAATTATGATATACAAAAATATTTTTAAAAAATAGACTTATAATACTCAAAACCTTAGTATAACAAATTACCTTCTGGTAAGCGGAAGCAAGGAGAGAATGGAATGTGACACCACTCCCCCACCCATGACTGAAGTTTCAGGGCTGTGGCTGTTTGAGGAATCTGCTGCATCTTTCCTTAGGACATAAAAGCAACTGGCCCATGAATAGCAGCTCCTGGAGACATGAACAGACACTTCCTGTGGGCTGTTCCCTGTAGGCAGCTGCTCTGCCTTTGCAGCCACGTAGAACCCAAGGAGCTGTCTCAACATTTATCTGGACGGGGCAGTGAAAAATGATTTCATCTTACTGTCTTGCCTTGCTTTAGAAAGTTGGAGTGGCTTCACAATACAGACTCAAGAATTCTTGTCCAATAATTAGAAATTCCAAAGCAGTTCTCAAGGTACTGTGTGCCTGTTGTGGCTCTGGTCACACAAAGTTCTGCAACCAGCCCAGTTAGTGTGTGTGTCACTGCCTCATGTGACCGTGCTTATTAATGCCTCCCTCCAAGTTGAAATGCTGCTTATCCAAACCCTACTGTACTTGAAATTTCTACCATACCATTTTTGCATTTCTTTTGTTTTGCCTGGGAATTTTATCTCCTCCAACCAGATGGCCAGATCTGGTGGCTATAGTTTGTCCTTCAAATTTGTAGGGTTCCCACTACCTTCCAGGCATGTTCTCCCCTCTATTCAGATAGCATCTCACTTTCCTTCACTGGGTCAACCTGACACTGTAATTGGATCAAAGCCAGACATGTGACTTTCTCTAGACCAATGAGGATCATCAGCTTTGGGCTTTTGCTAGAGCTCCTGGTAAGAGATATCCTTTCCCCAGAAATTCCCAGATGAATAGGAGCTGTTAGGGTTCACTGTTGTTGGAATGCTTCTCTAACAATAAAAATCACACAGCAGAGTCAGAAGACTGACTAGAATCCTGGTGGCAGAGTTTGAGGCTCGGTTATAAGAACCAATAACTTCCTTCCTAGTTGGTTGGTTCTTCCAACTAAAAGAATGTTGATGCATCTGGAGCATTTACCAGGGGCACCTCTCTCCCCTCCCCGCCCCACACATGGTAGGGATCAAATCTAGGACCTCATGATAAGTAAGTGCTCTACTGAACTATATCCTCTGTCCCTACAAAACTAACCAATTTTTAATAGGTGGTTTGTAGCTATGTCTAGAATGATTAAGTGAAATATGTCTTTTGCATTAAAAGTGTAACATTTACCAATTGAACCATTTTCAAAAGTACAACTCAGTGGCATCATGTATATTCACATTGCTGGGCAACATTCACCACTATCATTTCCAGTACTTTTTTGTCATCCCAAACTGAAATTCTACACCTATTACACACAAACTCCCCATTCCCTCCTGCTCTCAACCCCTAGTATCCACTATTCTATTTTCTTCTCTATGAATCTGACCATACTCTAGTAACTCATGTAGTGGAATCATACAGTAATTGTCAAAATCTTTGTGACTTGGCTTACTTCACTTGGCATTATGTTTTCAGGGTTCATTAATGCTGTAGCAGGTGCCAGAATTTCCTTCCTTTCCAAGGTTGAATAATATTCCACTGTGTATATATAACTACATTTTATTTATCCATTCACCTAATGATGGGCTGTTTCCACCTTATTCATAATCTTCATGAATAATGCTGCAGTGAACATTGATGTACAAGTATCTGAGTTTATTTCAATTTGTGGGGGTGGGGTATACACTCAGTAGGGGGATAGCTGGATCATCTGGTCATTCTGGTTTGGTGAGGAGCTGCCATCTGCCTTGTGCAGTGGCTGGACCATTTACTTTTGCACCAACAGTACAGGAGGGTTCCCATTTCTCCATATGCTCAAACATTTGTTTTTTGAAAGTATATGCTTAAAGGTGGAACTGTAGTCATGCTGGGAATAGGACTTACTCCACTTGTTCATGTACATAAGGAAACTGTTGGGTTAATGAAACGTTGAAGTCAGAAGCTGTGGCTGGAATAGTTCTTTTTGGACTTATGGGCAGCACACTCCTTTGTAATCCCCTGTGCTAACCTCTAACTGATACCACCAGCTTGGGCTCACTGCCAGAGAGGGAACTGCCTCTTCTGGAGCTACTGGCCACACCCTTTTTCCTGAGTGGAGGGGACAGAGGCCTGTCACACTTGACTTGCAGGTAATCTTTTCCTCAAATTCCCATCCTCTTCCCAGTTTTGGCTTTTGCAATGAGAATAAAGATATTCCTTTACCTAGGGACCCTCCCAGAGTCCTGCATAACTGCAATGTGATCATGTGCAAGGGTGCATCCCAGTGAGATGTGTGACCAGCTGTTTCCTCTTTGCACAAGCCCCTCCCCACCATCCCCCTGGCTACAGAAAACTTTCCATTGGAGTTCTCAGGAAGACATGGAGGGCATGTGAAACCTGAGACCTGAGAGCACACTGCCATCTCAAAAAGGCTTTTATTTCTACTTCATCATGGTCTCAGACAGWCTCAGAGGCACCACCGTTTGTCTCAATTTGGTATCCTCATGATTTTGCAGTGTTTTCCTTAAACAAGAAAATTCTGAGTGAACTCTGTACATTGCCGGTTAATCTTTTAACAATAATTTAAAAATGGTGCTGTTATCTCATCAATGCAAGGGGACCAACAATAATAGTACAGTACAAGGAACTTCACAATTACAGTGGGCCAGACAGACACACACTTAGGTGAGGGAGAGGACAGCAGCATATGTACATGCACCCGAAGACGTGCACTCGGGCAGACTAATATGTGGACTATACAGAGAATTTTCTACGCCCGTCTGAGGATTCTGTGCCTTCTCAAAAACATTGACCTGCATCCCTCCAGTTTCCRGAACATCTGTCTTGTCTACTGGTTCCATGGCTTTTTCACTACAAAAAGTTCACTGAATCAGACAGTCTGAAGCATTTTTAAAAATTCCTAAAAAATTGTTAACATTGACAAAATAAAATTAACTTAAAACACTCTAAGTTCAACATGGAGATAAACCCAACCAAAACAGAACAGTGCAAATTTAACAGAGAGGCAGTCAGGATTGAGAGCAAGGGTGTTCAGAATCTCTTAAAATGTACATTTTTTTAAAACTTTTATATTTTTATATCTATTTATACCATATTTACCTGTTTTTCTTTTTTTTAATATACTGTGTGTAAAAAAGATGGAGACAAAAATAGTTTTCTGAGCTATGAAAAAAATTAAGTTATTACAGGCACATTTGCTGTTTCATTCTAGAAACATCTCAGTTTCACAGGTTTGGACATTCAGCAGCTGTGTGTTTTTTTAAAAAAAAACATTCTTTGACCTTGAGAAAACTAGATCTCTCCTTTGGGGCAGAGTTTGGTTGTGAAGATGGTGTGGCTATGCAAATTACAGTGAATTATTCTGTGATAATCCATGCAAGCTTGCATCACGGGTGTGGCATTTCCTCCAGGGGATCCTCGTCACCGTGTTCCTCCAAGGAGGTCTGGTCTCCGGATGGCTGAGACTGTGAGGCAGTGGGAGAAGGTGTTGCCCAACGGGATGGAGGACGACGGTTTGCTGGTCTCTCGGGCCTGGAGAAGCAGGGCTCTAGGGATGGCGCTAGTGCAGGGCAAGGCAGTTCCTTCAGAACCGAGAAAGGGGAGACAGCATTACTGAGGTCAGCAGTTTCATAGTGGATAATTCCCCCCCTCTTCCCAACAGTCTTAAGCTACATGGAAGAGACCATGGACGACTTCTGAACAGGAATGAATATTCTGCTCATGGAAAATAATTTGAAATGATCGGTGAAAGAACTCAAAACAGGGGAAATCAGTGATGTGAATGGGAAGATACCAGATTAGGAATGAAATGGCAAAGCTGTGAGATGGGCCTGTTTTCAGAGCCCCTCCAGAATTGGGCTAGGACATGCAGAAGACCAAGGAGAGCAACTGTACATACCCCGGCAGAATCCCACTAAGCTGACCTCACCATTGGCCTTCTTTAATGAACGATTTAGGTATAGATCTACTGGGGGCCCAGGAAGAGAACTATGCTTTCAGCCCACCAGATTTAACAGTAAGACTTGTCTTGAAACAAGCTCTGCTACTGTTTATTCCAAGTTGATTGGCAGTGGGCAAAACAAACTCCCACGACATGGAAAAAATGCTGCCGGCAGAAATTTTAATTGAGTTCTAGTTGTCTTTAATGACTCTTAAATGTGGCAGCATTTTTACAAATTGGTATCAGAGTGCACTTGTGATTTTGTGTTCCAGGCACCCTGATGTTCTGAGAACTGATCATACAAGACACGCTCAACCTTGATGCAAATCACCTCTAAACCTTACTCTCAAGGTACTTTTTGTTTGTTTTTAAAGAATGTTGAGCCACTTGTCTGTAGCGTGCAATGTTAAAGAAAAAGGATACCCAATCTTGGAAGTTGCTGAAATACAGAAATGTAAACAGCTATGGTATGAGGAAACAGTGATACAGCGGGGAACCCAAGTGACACTCACAGAAAGCCGAGAGGTGAATTACTTCAATGGAAGGCACAGGAAGGATGACACAGAACAAGGATCCACAAAGAAAGTCAGCAAGGGACTTGGATTTAAAGACGTGACAAGCAACTAAAAAGACCAGAATGACAGATTAGCCATGGGAGTAGGGGAACAGCAACAGGGGAAAGACAGATGGTTGTGCTGAATGGGTAGGCAAAGCCACTCGGGAGAAGACGGAACATGTGGAGGATGTGTGGAGTTGGCCAGTGAAGATGGCTCGGCCCAAGGACAGTGTGGGACCCACAGATTCCCTGGTGGGATCAGCACAAAAGGAACATTAACACCGGAGATCACTTCTTCAGCGTCCCTGCCTACTTTGTGGCTGGCACCTTATAAGACATAGAAAGGGCCTTCATGGGCAACGCACTTATGACAATGGGACCATGACAAGCAGACTGTCCTCTCTGCTGGCACACCACTGGTGCCCCTGAGATAAAAAGTAAGCCAGGATGCCATGTGCTTACCGAGCCCACCTGGGCCCACATGCTTGATACTGGGGGACACATGGTTTGGAAAATCTGCTGCAGTTCTTCTCTGCTTGCACGGTTCTAAGAGTAGTGAGTGTTGTGTCGTTGTATACTGTGCATACATCTGTTGTGTGTGCTGCATGTTGGTAAAGCTGCTGCTGTAGCTGTATTTAGCCCCTTTTCCCACCTGACTGTTGCTGAACAAAAATGGGCTCTTCTTAGACCATGATGCACCACCTCTTCAGTGGCATCTGCTTATAAAGGAAGAAATGTTGTGTAATCACAAGGTCTTCCTTACTTACATACCAGCACTTACAAGCAAGCCATGTTTCCTTTTCCTCCAAAGCCACAATGATGGCCACATAGGCCTCTGTCCTGTGATGCTGCCCTAGAAGCATCCATCTTGTAAATGGCTTTCTCATGTACTTTGTCATTTTTTTTCCCCCAGGGACTAGTTTTTACCTCTGATAGCTGACTATAGTTTGGTACTCCACAGTTTAGATTTAGGCCAGTGGATGAGGTAGGTATCCATATCCTCAAGTAAAATCAGAGTATGTTTTCTCACATGCTTTGCTCCATTCAGGTCTCAAAGGCCATTTTGAGACAGGTAGAGCAGGAATAGCTTGGTTGTTTTATTTATTCAACAAGTATTTATCAAGCACTTACTCTGTCACCCATTATCTCATCTGAAGGACAAAATACATTTGGGGTTATTCCTTCTGGTAGGACTGTTTGAAAATAAAAGAAAAGTCCCAGCACATTATGGCCCCACCTCATTCCAGCATATGGTAACACACATGCTCAACCAAAACGCCAGTGAGCAGGGAGGGCAGGAGCCGGTGGTCAGGGCTACAGAACTAACAGAGGCTGGACTCAAAGATCTCCTCAGGCAAGAGTCTTGTGGCTGAGATGTCCCCTCCTGACCAGTGGCTCTCTCCTATGAAAGCATGTTGGCTACACAAAGAGAGGAGAAGTCTCAGCAGAACCTCTATAACTCAACACCCTCTCTTGACATTAAGCAGTCAACCCTAGAACGGGGTGAATGGGGCATCTGAGATTCCTAGGCTGTGTCTGGAAATGAGCTGGCCCACATGATCCTGGGGTTAGCATGGAGCAGATGCCCCCCACCCCATGATGATGAGTGTCAGACACCAACCACGTGTTACACAAATTACACACACGACTCTCTGGAGACAGTTGGGAACTGAGGAAGAAGGCACTTACAGCGTGAGGCAGGCAGGGCTAGAGTCCCCATGGGGCAGTTAGTAAGACAGTTTGGTTCTAGACAGACAAAGAAGAGAAAGGCAAGTAGGTTTGAAAGTACGTTTCAAACAGAACAGTAAAAGTCAATGAGCACAGTGGAAGAGGGGCAAAGTTCCTGCCTGTGGACAGCCACCAGGATGGAATTGAGGTCCCCCACATTCACTCCGAGATGGGGGTGGGGAAGTAGCAGCAGCACTTCGACACATGCTGTCCCCTGCCAAGTGCTACGGAGAGAAGAACCCACCAAAGAGCCTTGGACCTCCCTTCTGGTTTCCAGGCTCCCTGAGCGACCCATGAACATTTGGCAAACAGAAGTGGAAGTGGCCCGGCTGTTGTGCTGGAAATGATAGAGGCCACTACACAGTTGGGTCTGTTCTGGTCACAACTGTGCTAAGTCATCTCCCTCCCATTTTCCACTCCAAGATCATTGGTTCTCTTCACTCCGGAACTCCTCCTCCCAGCTTCTCTTTGCATTGTTGAGCTGATGGCCATGGCTTCAAGAGAAGACGACGACTATGTCACCCGTGGGATGAGTGGGAAGCAAGAAGGGACACGTCCTGCTGCCCGAGTCACCCCTGTGTCTAGATGTCTGAGTGTACGTTCAGGAAAGATTCCATAGCAGGGTGCTCAGAGTGGGCTGGGAAATCAGAATGAGAAATCAGCATCTGCTGATTTTGGAATGAAAACCTAGAGCTACTACATAATCCATGGAGAGAAGGGAAGGGATCACCACTGCTCCTAATACGTTACGTCAATTCAAACAGAAAAATTCTACCAGAATCTAGAACCAAGCAAACCTGTAACAGAAAAGGAAAAAAGAGCCCAGGGCATCAAAGTGCTGCCCAGTCTCCACACAGGTTCTAAGTCCTGGAAATGCTGAAATGCTCCCATTAAATCACCTTGTTTGGTGGCAAACACACTAAGGAAGAGAAAATCTAGTTGCAGGGTTCACAGGGGACAAAGGAGGACAATTTTGCACTGACATAACCACTTGCATGCCACAATACTGTGATTCCGTCTTTAAACCTCTTTATGTTACCACAGATTGCTTGCAGCATTCAGTGTTAGTAAATCAAAGCATTTTTTTTTTTGGTGTCTGAAAATTAATTTCTGTTTATTTTCTAATACAAGTAGAAACTACAGACAAAGCCAGTTAACAATGCTTTGAGCCCATTTCTCCAGAGCCCTGAGAAGGCAAGGTATTCACATATAATGACCCTCCCAAGCCTCAAGTGCTTACCTGAGGGCTCCTGAAGGTTTGAGGAAAGAAAAGATCAAAGAAGACATTATTTGTCACCCAAGAACAGTCAAACAGAGGGTGTAAACAACTTTATCCCAAGACTCAAACCTTTGGATCAGTAGGCCACATACTATCAATAGCTGTATAAGGCTGAACCATTTCTGTAGGTCATTGGCAATTGTACAGGTTTGGTCCTATTTTAGATTTAAACTCTATATTTTGTGTTAAATATTCCTTGGTGGGTTGGGCTGGGATCTACCCATTTTTTTCCCCAGGGGAAATGTAAGGCAGGTGATCCCAGAAACAAACCTTCCTTCTATTCTCTCCCATGAAGCCAGGCTGCCTGGTGGTGGCCAGAAAACAGTGGGGCGGCCCAGAAGCATATGGCTGTCCTCCCTGACCCCTCTTACTGTTGTGAGAGACAGGGGCCTAGAGAAGGCTAGTATGGCATGTGCGTAGCTTGGCTCCTGGTGACTTAGGAACACTGGCAAGTATCACACATACACATGGCCACCTGCGGGGCAGCACTGTCCTTTCAGTCTGCATAAACCATAAAATCGGCATCAACACTATAGTCACCACCAGCATTATCATATTATTTGCTTCATTTTGCTCATTCTTGGTATGGAAATAGGAATTATTTTTTATAGTGATATGATGCAAAAATACCACCTGGGCACATGTATCAGAACAGAATTCGGGGTTGATTGATTTCTAAGTGATTTTGAGGGGGGGACAATCATCATCATCATATTGTACTAAGGCAGATATTTTGATCTTATCCTGATTGATTTGTGAGATGCCAGACTGCTGTTCTGTACTGAAGTCAGCCAGGGAATCCAAATATTGTTCTTGTAGTTCCTGATAGAAGATGTGCTCATGTCCATGTGGCTCAAAAGCCCTCCAACTCACCTTTCACATGGCCACGTACAAATATCTGTAGCATGTAAAAGTCCTGAGACACAGATACACACACACAATTCAATTTTCACCCATGACATGCACAAAGAGGGCAAACTATGACCTGGGTGCAAAGCCCAGGTAAACAGGTAAGAAAAATCACTTAAAGGATGAAATCTGAACCAAACCATGTCCTTGATGATTTTGAAAAGAGTAAGATGAGATTTTCTTTAAGAAGCTGCTTGGGGTCTGTGTTCTCATACTCCCTAACCCTCAACCCATTTCCCCAGTTCACAATCATTGACATGGATTCCTGAAATCACTGTCCCAAATCCATCCCAGATTCCCATGTGCCTGGCAGCTAAATGGAAGAGCAGGAAACATTTCATTCTTTACCTCCATGGACCCTGGTTCAGCCGTGACTGCTTCTCCTACGTGGTTGTCGCTGGTCAGACTTGGGGGGCCGGGGGTGGCCTGCCTCCTTTCTTCCTTTAAGGCATGCTCCAACAGCTTCTTGTTGAGGATCCGGGCCACACTCTCAGCGAGTGTATAGCCAGGGGGAGCGGATAAGTCCTGCCTCACCGGTGTGCCCTCTCCCCCTTCTTCCCTGCATGTCTCTGTGCCTGTCCCAAGGGGGCTGGGTGACCTTCCTCGGGAACTGGTTCCTGTTTCTTGGCCTGGGCCCAGCTCTGGTCTGGGTTCTGCAGAGCGAGACCTACTCCCAGCCCGTGCCCCCTTCTGGAAGGGGTCCTGTACCACAGGGCTGTGGTCGATGATGTTGAAGAGGCTGGAGAGACCATCGTTGATGGTGGTGTGCACGGGGCTCTCCCTAGTGGTGGTGGAACGGGCCCAGGCTGACTCACTGTACCCTTTCTGGGCCACCCCTGGTGAGTTCCTGCTATTTGGCTGGTCGGCTTTGGGAAGGGGCTTCCTCTGTAGCTTGGGAGAACCATACTTTGGAGAGCAGCAGGTACGCTCAAACTTGGCCTGTACCTTCTCTATGGCGGGGGCCACCTGCCTGTTCCTCAGGCTACGGGAAGGAGAGGACACAGGTGTGGCACCACCCCCAGCCTTTGGCGTGAGACACTTATGGGGACTGCTGGTGACACCGCTATTACGAAGGGCTTCAGTCTGTAGGCCCACACTAATGGTCTGGACAGTCTGTGTCCCTGTTGTCCGGGACCCATTGGTCTGGCAGGCCATGTCCTTGACTTGTGGCTCAGTGGGACCAGAGCAGATGGCATTCCTGACAGAGAAGGCTACCTCCTTCATGTCATCACTCATGTTCTTGGACATATCCAAGCTGTGCAATGGGGAGGCGAACCCCAGGGAGGTGCAGAGAGCCCCCTCCACATAGTCTCGGGTGTGTCTAGAGGAGGCACAGGGCCACCTGCTGAGCACAGATTCTGGATGACCCCCCTTGACATCTCCCAGGCCCCCTCTGACTCTGCTCGTGGGAAAGGGGCCCTCGGGTTCCAGTCGGCTCCTGCTTTCTCCGCCTGTCATGATGCTCTCAACCCTGCGGACAGCAGGTGGGCTGTGAAGCACGCGCACCCCTGCTTGTTCAGTGAGGATGTGGCTCCGAAGTGGTTGCTTCTGGCAGTGCTCTGGGCTGGTCATGGTATCTGTGGTCATGGTGACACTCGTGGTCAGGTACCAGGAGGAATCAGAGAAAGGCTCTGCATTGGCCTCATGCCCTGCCCGCACCCCTTCGGTCCTGTCTGTCCAGAGGTCCGGAGGCCTCTCTGTCCCAGTCCTGGAGGGTGTGTAGTCCCAGCTCTTGCTGTTGAACTCTTCAATGTAGCGGAAATCATCAGGAGACAGGGGTGGGGTGACATCTTCTTTGCTACTGGCAGATGGCAGGCCCTTCTCGGGCAGGAAGGGGGAGACATCCATCAGGCGCTGGAATTCAGACATGGAGGACACAGATACCGCCCTGGGAAAGGTAGGAAAGCAGAGGATGTCAGAAACCCACCAGAGAGGCCCTGATGTCCCACAGCAGCTGTGCCCTGGCTACGTGAGCTGTGCCCATGAAGGCATCCGCCTCCACCTACACAGAACACATTTGCTGCTTGATGGATTCTGCTCCTGAACTCATCCTTTGGGGGTTTACTGGACTTTTTTTGTGGCTCTGGAATCATTCCTTTAACTTCACGTTGGTCAGAATTTAATACAGCCAACCCTCAACTACCACAAAAAGGAGAAGGGTGGGGCTGCACCACAATCGCAGCTGAACTCCAGACTGCTGCTTGGCCTCTCTTTTCATGGGGAAGTGCCTTGAGTGACACCCCTACTGCGACTTACTAAGGTCCAGCATCAGCAGACACTCATCATACTGTGAAGATGAGCACCTCATGGTCTCTATCTTCAATAAGCTAAAGGTACATGGTGGAGAGAGACCACAACAAAATCATTACATTCTGAAGTCTCTCTTCAACTAACCAGCCTTGTCCTCTATTGGCTGCAAGGACCAACAATCTCCAAAGGCCACTTGGAAGACATAGGAAAAGGGAGGGAAGTAGAAACCATACATTGCCACACAGTGTCCAAGTACTATTTCAAACAAGGATTCACCTGGCCCTGCCCAAATTCACCCAGCAGGGCTCAATTCTCCCCTTCTCTCTGCGCTCCCTTCTTTATGGCCAGTCTTTTTGGGTATGTGTTTGTGCTCCCCCTTTATATCCTAAATAAGAGAAAATCTCCCTCAGATACATGAGTTTTTGGCAAGTTGTTGGCTGACAGATGTGGCTTGGGTGTAGACTCCTGGATATGTTGGCACTTCCATTCCACATATTTCAACCTGACATGAATTCACAGACTGCCTCCCATAGGCAGAGGTGCTGGGATGCCAGGAGATTGGGCAGCTTGCTCACCCATCAGGTCAGGAAGGAGGCTGGGGGGCTGGCTACATTTACCTATGCAGGCAACAGGATCTCTGTGGCCTGGAATTCCTCCAGTTGGGGTGAGGGGAGGAGTTGAGGCAAATGAAGAATCATTTGTCTATACAACTGGACCTGCTTCTCTTGGGTCCCCTCACCTCTTCAAACAGAGGCTCTTATCTCACTTCTAGATCAGCACAGGTCCTGATGCAGGGGTCCTAAATTGAGTGCATAGGTTACGCCTCTACAGGACAAGGCCAGAACTGAGTTGCGCTTTGAGCAAGTTGTGTACTGTATGACTACTGCACAGTACCATCAATGTCACCTAAGGGGGTAGTGGCTTGATGCCTCTGGGTCTTAGCCAAATGCAGTGGAACAGAAATGATAAAGAGAAAGAAGTGGCACTGAATTTAGCAGTGGCCAAACACACAAAATAACTACAAAACCAGGATGTACTTGGAACATGTGTAGGCATTTGCAGGCACATAGAAGAAAGAATGGAGGAGACCACCACATAGTTAGCAGCAAGAGGTAAAAGTGGGTGGAGGGAGGGCACATCTGTTTTTTATTATTTATTTATTTTTATTTATTTCTTACATACATGACAATTTTTCGTAACTCTCTATATAAAGTATATTCACGCCAAATTATGCCATTATACATGAGCTCTCATTTTTTGCATACAATTCTTAATACACCTTTATACCATAATTTATTGTATCTCTGTTTGTATATAAGGTATGTTGACACCAAATTCACATTTTCATACATGTATTTTGTATAATGATGACTGTCTCCTTCCACCTTCCTAGCTATTCCCCTTCTCCCTCCCTTCACATTTGTCTTTTTAACTTTGGACATTTTGATACTGTTTAATTTACCACAAGCATGAATTGGTTTTGAAACTCACAGAAACAAGCAAGATGATGATGATGATGACAATGATTATTAATTATTTTGCAGTCCTGGGGATTGAACCAAGGTCCTTACACATGCTAGGCAATTGCTCTACCTCTGGGCTACACCCTAACCCTTATTATTTTTTATTTTTTTTTTGGGGGGGGGTCTTGCTAAATTGCCCAGGCTGGCTTTGAACTTAAAATCCTCCTAATTCAGCTTCCCAGTAAAAATAAGGTTTTTTGAAACAACTGTATAGCACAGGGAGCAAACAGAAAGCTCAGTGGCTTGGTGGGTAAAAGACAGTGGCTCTAGCCCTGACCTGGGCACTGACAAGGATGCTGCCATGAATAGGTAAAGTAGGTAGGTACAATGACAGCTAAACTTCGACCACTGCTTCTCCTGTGCACTGCTTTGTTTCATGTGTATTAACACAAGTAAGCTGCAAAATCTAAAGAACTCCTATTCACAAATAAGGAAACTGAGGCACAAAGAGTTAGGAAACCTACCCAAGATTACAGGGCTAGTGAAGGCAGTAGCCTGCCATCTGCCAGTAGCAATGGCACTAGTGCCTAAACTCTCAAATGCTGCCCTGTACTGCCCGAGGAAGACCAGACAAGATAGTGAAGGACAGAAACATGCCCTGGGCAACTCTGTGTGCTGCATGGATCTGACAGTGCAAAAAGAAAGAAGACAGTCATCCACAGACTCCAAGTTCATGAGAAAATCAAGGATGGGGAGAACCCAAAATGGCAAATTGCCTGAGAACAAAATTTATGTAGTGGAAACAATATGTATTCATCTATAAAGAAAAACCAGAGCAAATAAAACCAGGGAGGGGGGAAAAAACTGGTATATAACTAACACCAACAACATCAACCACTATATATTTTCTTCGGGGATTATTGCCAGGAGAACATTTTTAACAAGCCCTCCTGGAACTTTAAATATATAGTATATAAAATGTCTCCTATATCAAGAGGAGGCTTTCCAAACTTCTCACAAGGAGAGTTTTCCATGGATTTTTCAAAACCACTGAACACACACAATTCTTTTTATATGCAATACAGCTATAACTGGAAAGTCCTTACCATAAAAAGAATACACGTGTGAAGATGGCATATCTAGCCTTTTTGTTGCTCATCCTCAAAAATCACATATTTATGAAACAAATAATACAAAATCAACTACTTAAATGTGGAGTCCTTTTGAAGATTGGTAACAGACTACATTAACAAGAAGATAGAATCTGGAGCCCGAGAGATTTTTATTTCAGCAATCTATTATTTCTATCAATCTTACTTACCTTTGAAGATTTCCCTTGTGATTTTCTTCTTCCTGTAAAGAAGAAATAAGTTCATCTGAATCAGTTAATTTTGGTTGCTTAGGATCCTCAACTGTGCTTAAGTGACTTGTTTTGCTCCGCTCCCTTGGGGAGGCACCATTTAAAACACACTGGGGCCAAACTTTGGTCAGGAGTGCTACTGCCCTAAGTCCTTTGAAGTAATAAAAGCAGAGTCGACAGCATGATGAGAGGGTTGGAGCGTCCACAGTGCAGGGAGGAGCCCATATGAGCTTGAAAAACTGGCTATAAACCCATCATGAAGGAAGTGGCTTGCTCCTATGCCTCCTCAGAAGACCTCCCCAACTGCATAAACTTCAAAGTCAGCTCTTGGAATGACCTGAATAAGTCTCAGTATGAGAGAAGGGGTGGAGGAGGGAGGAGGAGAGGGGAAAGACAGAGGATGACACAATGAGATAGGAGCTGGATGTCCCTTGGTTCCTATCTTGCTATGGCAATTGGTGTAACATTCTTAGGCTTGGTCACTTGCTTGGTTTTAAACATTCTCAGGATCAGAAATGAATTTACAGTGACTTCCCCTTAAGAAGAATGAAAGCTGTGCTAGTAGAGACCCAGCTGTCTATTGAGAGAATACTCCCATGCTGATGTGGCTTTGAAGAAGCAAGCCTTTCATGGTAATGAAACATATTCTTCAGGACAGTAAACACCAGAGGGCACTTCCCCCTCAGCCAGCGTGCCCTTGTCTCTGCTGTTCAGAAGAGCATGGCAGTTCCAGCCACAACACAGCTAGAACTACCACCCAGGGTTTGCACCCTGGTCCCACATTCTCTCTGCAGTGAAATTGGACTATACAACATTGCCTCTAGATCCACCAGGGTGGACCTGTGGTGATGTCCTCCCAACCTGATACACACGAATGAGGATACCGCACTTAACTCATTGGCAAGGACTGAAAAACAGGTCCAACATCCCTAATCCAGAAAATCTAAAACCTGAAATGCTCCCAAATCTGCAACTTTTTGAGTGCTGACATGACACCACAAGTGGAAGCTTCCTTATCATGAAACTTTGTTTCAAGCACATAATCATTCACATGCTACAAAAATTATCTTCAGGCTGCACATACAGAGTATATGTGAAGCATAAATGATTTTTGTGTTTGGCTTAGGTCCTATCCCCGATATATCTTAACATGTATATGCAAAATATTTCAGAATCTTCAAAAAAAATCCTGAAAAATTCTAGATCTCAGCTTTTTGAATAAGGGTTACACAACCTGTATGATTTCCCCATATTTCAACAATATTATTGCACATGAATTGTTCCAAGTATTAAATGTTTCGGAGATCAAATGATGGATAGTGATTATTAACTTAATTCACAGGAAATAACTCCTAGTACAAATTTTTTAAATGAGATTTTAAAGATGACAAAACCAGAAAAACCTACATCATGCTATGAAACTTTCAGTATGCAGCTTTAATCACCCATTTGGTAATCTAATTTACATGTGGATTCTAAGTTTTAGAATTTTCCCCACTTTGTCCAGAATGAGATAGTTATAGTATGCTATTGTTTAGTGATATTTTCTATTTCCAAACATCAGGAAATTTCTCTAATGCAGAATTTCTTCAGTTATTAGTTTTCTAGAATCAGAAAACCAAGATTTCAAAAAAAGTTGAAAACACATATTTCCCCAGTATTTTTTTACTTTCTCTTGGGTTCTGTGGAACATGGTTATTCTCCAGACTTCTTTTTGCATAAGACACTCTGTGTTTCTCAACCTGAAACAAGGTGGCAAAATTAAACTGACCACAGATGACAACAGGAGTTTGGATCAGGGCCACCAAGCAAAACCCTCAGCACTGCAAAGATTTCATTTTCACTCAGGTCATAGGTTGTCACTGGAGCCTGCCAGGAGGGGACTCTGGCAGGTTCCTGCTGGGTCTAAGGACAACTCCCTCATTCTGCAGCAGTTAACGAGAGTAAATGAAAGCCAGGCTGACCTCAGAGAGGCAGTTCCTGAAGTCCCTCTCAGGCCTGTGGGGTAGCAGCTCCTCTGGCTCATCATCCAGGGACAAGGCGTCCAAATAGAGGTTCTCACTGGCAGAGCACCTATCCGACTCCTTCAGCTTGGACAGCGGCCGGTCTTCAAACGGTATAGAGTCAGTGTCTGCACAGGGCCATATCGCCATGGGACGGGGCATGCGGAGCCCTCCTTGATGGGGAAAGGAACGGACGTTTCCTTCTTTTTGATCACATAGGAAATTGCCACCTCTCCGAGGACTGTTCTCTTTCTGCAACTTGAGAGTTTTAAAAATGGAGATAATAATTAGCCTTGCTTTTCAGTCTGATGGTCCTCCTAAGACCATCCTTTCTACACAATGTAGGATTACCTGTGGGTCCATCTGAAAGACTGGGCAAGAAAGAAATGTTCTTACAGTTCTGACCTTAAGTTCAAAATGTAACACAATGCCATACCTGTTTTCAACAAAGTACAAAACTAGAAAAGTCTGCAGTTACCACATACAAGTATTTTTGCCAACTCTGATGCAAATATTTCTTTGATTTTTTTCTTCATCTTAATTTTAAAATACATGKTTTTTTTTCATACCTTTTAAGCACCATGCTCATGAGACTTACATACTTGTCCTTTGAAAATTAAATATGTTTAGAACTCTCTCGGAATTACCTTCAGCGATTAAGGCACACTTGATAGAATAGCATCACTGATATAAAAACTTCTGAGGGCGCATCTGATTTTCCTAACTTTCCTAACCTTTTTCCAAAGCATTTGGTACAAGGTCCTATGTAAAACCTGAATGATCAAAGTGGGTTATAATCATTTGGCATTAAAAATACTTTCCACTTTGCCGGAGAGGATTAAAGCTCTGCTGTAAAGGCAACTAAAGATCTGGTATGATGCAGAAGAAAACTGCCACATATGTTCTTGTTACACTTCTTTGCCTGACTTGATAAATTTAAGCAGTAATGGGCAAGCACAGGAAAGTTAGGATTTAGAAGATGTGAACTAGAGCCATGAATTTATGGCTTTGCTTGTTTGGTGACAGGGTGAAGTTCCAACTCTGCTTAGCTCAGTTTCCTAATCTGTAAAATGGGGATAGGCAGACAGGGGTTAGCAAGCAAGGTGCAGCCCAGAGGGGCCAGACACCTATAAAGCTCAAGTAAAAGCCAGGGGCATGCAGGTAAATGATTTTCCTGCCTTTTTTTTTTTTTTTTTTTTACAGCATTGGGAGATCTCCTAGGGGCAGTTCAGAAAGGAAGCTACTTAAAATCACAGGAGACTATTGAGGCAGACAGGCAAATACTTCCCAGAAAAACCCTGACCAGTCTCCTTTCCTTTCTCCAGTCTTGCCTCACTGCCTCTGTTACTAAACACGTACAGAAAGCACAATTGGGACCTGAAGCTATTTCCACCTATGAATATCTAATTGAGGTCTTTTCTGGATGAGGAGCTCACATACTCTCCTGGATTGCCTGATCTTCTGAATATGTAAATTATCTGAATAATGAAAGTGACATTTGGATTTGACCTGAGAGGGGACCAAGCAAATATTTGCAGTCCTAAAGTGCTAARATGGTGCCAGGATATTCTAAAACTCCTCTGAATGTGGATCAATGAATTTTTAAGAAAGCATCTGTACACACTGCATCTTAAGAGTCCTAATTCAAGCCTTTATCCACAAGCTGGACATAATTATGCCCTGTAAGCCATCAGGAAGAAAGCCAAAAGAGATAATAGGGACAAAAGAACTTTCACTGTTTTTAGTAATTTCTGAGGTTTTCTTTTTATTTTATGAGAAAGAAGGAGATTCTGCATGCAGGGCATAAATGTTAGGGTTTTGACGCAGGTTCACAGTCAAATTAGGGAACAAGCAAATCACTCTAGGTTTTAGCTCAGCCCCTTCTTTCCTCTCATCCCCCTCCCCAATGACACAGTTCTTTGCAGTTCTCTTAAATATGCTAAATGCTTTTCTTAAAAAAAATAAATAAAAAGGAAAGCTTTTAATTATGTTCATTTAATGCATGTCAGCGCAATTTCATTTTAACACATGATCATCTCCAAGCTATTTTGGGCAAGGAATTAAAATGCAAGAATCACATTGGAAGCCTAAATGTGCTCTGAGGGTGTGTGCGAAGAGGGAGAAAGAATGACTAAAGAGGAGAGCTATGAACAAGCGCGTTCTAACTCAGTAAAGTGGGATTTCAAAAATAAACCCAGGCAGCCAGGAACAGCTTGCACTAAAGCTGCTAAGTGTTAGGTTTCCTAAAAATGAACTGGAGTGGTTGTAGCTAGAGGTATCTGTGGCTAAGATGCCTCTGCAGTGTGGTAATAGAATAATGGGTCCTTAAAAGATAGGGTTTCCTAGGGCAGTCATTTCAAACCAGGCGGCAGCACCCTGTACTTGCAATCTTGCAGCAGAAAATGTTTAATACAAATAGAAAATTTAACAGATTTGCATTTCAAATAATGTGAGGCACAATAAGCCTTCAAGAGTATCACCTTACCCAGACTGGTTGAAAGAAAAAAGGTTGCTTTGTTAACTGGTTTTAAAAGAAGGGCCTTTCACGTTGTAAAGGCAGCTGATTTAAGAAAATCACTGGAAGGAGAATGGATGACACATGAGCTTTCCTTTTTAGCTCAGTAAGTACAGCAAGTACAGCAGCAAGTGACATTATGTGCATGTCTAACTGGAAACTTAACAATTCTAAGGAGAAATATAGTGTGACTCCATCAAAGTTAACTACACCCCAATCAAATGTGGATTGAGACAAGAGATGTGGATAAGATAGATGCAATGCATTGTAGGACCTGAACCACATTCCCACACTCATTTGTCATATAAAATGCCTCATGTGGTGCAGAAATTATGTAGGAATTTAATGACACTGGACAAGTATGAAACATGTGTTCTAGAAGTGGAAAATGGATTTAGAGTGACTTCTCTCACCATCTGTACTAGGTTATCATAGCCAAGGTTACATGGCTTACCAAGGAGTCAAATATCGAGAGTAGTCATTGTGATGGATGTTCAGTTACATTTCTTCCTTAACTATGGAATGTGTAGCTCAAAGTCAAGGGAACTAACAACCCAGTAAGTGATAAACAAAATCTGCACACACTTGCACATGTATATACACACCATACTTGATCCAATGTCCTCCTTTTACAGAGAATTCCTATACGTGCTATACCCAACTCTTGGGACTAGGCACCAAGGTTTATAAAATCTTATTTTAAAATGTTGACTATCTAGGAAGAAAGGTTCAACTTATTTGTGAAAGCCACCATGGTGAACCTGAAGCCTCTACTAAGTGTTAAATCAATCCTCTTCTAAAACAAAATGGGATCCGTCACCTGAGTCTGAGCAGCAGGTAAATGCCCGAAACTCACAGGCTCAGATCCGGGATATTCCAAGGTATTAACCCAGACAGAAGTTCTGAGGCTGTTTCTTTAACACAATTGTTGCAATACCTACGTTATAGAAATGGAGTTCAGCTCCTGACCATCCTTATCTCTCCAGAATATAGTCTCAAAACAAGGGAACAGCTCATCCTAAGGTCTCTGACACTTCAAAAGCTCAGTGTCATCAGGTGGGTCTCACTTGCATTCCTAAAAGTGGAATAAGTATCTAAAAGACTTGCTTAAAGGAGACACTGAGAGGGCTATGGCAGAAACATGATGTCCTTCACTGGAGTAGAGAGGAGGGACATACAAGGCAAGTGATCCTAGAGCAGAGGTCAAGAGTGAAGGTCCCAGGTAATAAGCTATCTGGGGTTACTGCAACACTAGTCAACTAAAACTAGATATGATATATTGGTGACCATATCTGTAAAAATACATGCTACTTCTACCCCTGAAATTTTCACCTAACTGACCAATTCACTCAGCAGATCACAGACACTTGGGATTTTATATGGAAAACTCTTCACAGGTGCTGCATTTCTGAGCCAAACAGAAAATGCCAACTTTTCTCTTGGTAGGATTTGGGGGATTTTGAAATGGCACCATATCAAATATTAGCAACGTGACTCATTAGTGTGAGTGGTCAGATCTAGGAAGAACTGCTTCTATCTATCTGCAGTGCACTTTCTTCCTCCTGGACTTATTTTTTTAAACCACTTAATCTATTCTTCTTCCCTTCCTAGCTGACATTATGTTTAAACCTATCTTTGTCATTGTTCCTGTGTAACAGGCACCATCTCTTATCCATATAAAGAGCACACTTTTCAAAAGGGTCCCACTTAGATGCAAGCAGTATGTGTATTTATAATGGAGTAATGAGGTTATTTTTCCTGATCTCAGTTTCTGATTGATTAATACATCTCCTTGAAGCCTTGTGAATTTATAAATACGATAGGCTAAAAAAAATCATTTGCTAGGTAAAAATCCAGCCATGGAGAAATTCCAAATATTCATCAGTGTAATGTGAAAACCAAATCTGTGTATCACCTGTGAACTATCGCAACTATGCAAACTGTTCTGTCTGATGCAATGCAGGGACTGATTATCTAGGCAGTAGAAAAACAACTCCCCGTCTCCTCCACATTCATCTGAGTGCCCCAATTGTTTGTTTAGCTGAAGATGATGAGCTACCAGCTAACTCCATTGACTCAACTCCTACCTAATCACAGCTTAGCAATAATCACAGCAGGTACAATCACAGCAAATAGCCTAACTTTCAACTTAACTCGGCAATTTCTTTACCTAATGACTACAATTCCATTTGAGCTGAAGCAGTCACTGTGACCACATTTTTAGTGGCTAACTTAAACRTTAGTTTGCTTTTTGGCAGAAATCACTGAATACGACCTGAAATAACCTCCTTGTTGGAAAYTTTGCTTTCAGATTCCTTTAAAAAGTTACCCTCTACCCCTGCATACACAGGAAAGATGCCCATAAAATTTGCAACAAAAAACATCTATACAATGCTAGGCATAGGAGTAGGTCTTCACTATTAGAGATTCTGATATTTCTCCCTCTTCTTCTGTACACTCATGAAATCCTGATGCAATGAGGAGCATAAAGTAACCTGATTTTCTTTTTTTTCCTCTGAGTACTCTTGATTTCCAGGACCATAGAGCCGTCCATACCCTGCCTGTTCCTTGGTATCTGGGGTGTGTGTTTACCTGTTCTATCTTCCACAAGAGATCCTTCTTCTGCCGCTCCCATTCCTGACGGTCCCTGTCCAGGCGATCGAGAAGTTCTACCTTCTCTCGGTTCCAGTTCTTCTCACTGTGATGAATCTGCCAGCGCAGGTCCATAACCAGGCCATGGCTGTCAGCCAGAAGCTTCTGGTGCACCTCCCTCTCCTTCTTCAAGGCCCCTTTGCTCTCGGTGGAGGARTCAAGCTCTCCTAAGTTCTTCTCAGTCTTTTCTTCCAGCTGTCAAAGAGAAAAGGCTCAGGAACTCATTTCCCTGACCAGTCTGGCATTAAAGGGTGAAAAGAGGTTCAGCATATTTACATATGATCCCTGGAAACATGCTTAAACCAATACTGGACCAAAACCCATGGAAGAAACAAATACCGTTTTTAAAGTCTGAATTAAGAACCTCTGACACAGAGAATCACACAGAATGTTGATCAGCCAGCCCATGTACCTTCCTATGGTTGCCTTCTCAGCTCCCTTCCCAGCCTAAGTCACCACCATCTCTTGTCTGTACAGATCTATAATAGCAAGTATCATGTCTGTCCCTATCTCCTTAATCCCTAGATGGAACCTAGGGATGGGACAGCAATGGAACCTAATAGTCTTCAGATAGTATTTGTCAAATACCCAGGACGCTAAATACCAGAAACAAACAAAATGTCTATTTACATCTTATGTATTTAAACTGGTGAAAAATAAAGAGAAACTTTTAAAGGCTGACAGAGAAAAAGACACGTGAGGTAGAAAGGAAATAGAGCTTAGGGCATAGGTATAGGTCTCTAATGGTAGAGAGTCTAGTATTTGTCCTTCTTTCCCTGGATGTCCATGAAACATCATGATGTAACAAGAATCATAAAATAGCCCAATTTGGGGCTGGGGTTTTGGCTCAGTGGTAGAGCACTTGCCTAGCATGTGTGAGGCCCTGGGTTTGATTCTCAGCACCACATATAAATAAATGAATAAAATAAAGGTCCATCAACATCTAAACAAAAAATTTTTTTAAATAGCCCAATTTTCTTTTTATCTGAATACTTTTGATTTCCATGACCACTAAACAGTCTATACTCTGCCTGTTCTCAAAGGAGAATTACAAAAGACTTCTCATCAGAAATTATGCAAGTCAGAGGATGATGGAGTGACATCCTTTACTGCTGGTCAAGCTAGATAGAATTCTATACCCAGATATAACATACTTCAAAAACAAAGGAAAAATACTTCCAAACAAACAAAAATGGGGAAAAAAAATACTTGTCAGAAGACCTGCACTCCAAGAAATGGCAGAGGAAATTCCTTAGACAGAAGGAATATGGGGGCGCCTCCACGCCGCGTTGGAAGTGGTTCGGGGATTCCAGAGCGCAGCCGCGGCGGTAAAGCGAGTGGAGCGTGCGAGGGCAAGGTTGGGTAGTTGGAAGCTGGCGCGGACAAGGAGTGTCCTTTCAAGGATGCAGACGTGCGAGCCCTTCCGCCGCTTACCAGGGCGCGCTGGCCAGAGAATTATTGGGATCACCAAAGAGAGTGACTGCACCTGAAAGCCTGGGGCCGCCACACCAAATCAGAGAAAAAAAATCCCTCTTCCTCCAGCATGGCAGATTTGGATGTTTCGAACTTGGCACTACCGATGTCTGGGGCCACATAATCCTTTGTTGTGGGGAGATCCCTGTGCCTTGTAGAATGTTTAGCAGAGTCCAGTGACTGCCTGCCCCCACCAGTGACAACCGGAAATGGTTCTGGAATTGGGAAATATCCTCTGACAGGCAACACTGCCCCTCGTTGAGAAACATTGGTGCAGGATTTCATTCACACCCATTCTCCTGGTAAGAAAGTGCTCATTGTCTATGCACACCAAGAACCCAAGTCTTTCAATGGCTCCTTGAAGAAAGTGGCAGTGGATGAATTGAGCCAGCAGGGATGCACCGTCACCATGTCTGATTTGTATGCCATGAACTTTGAGCCAAGGGCCACAAGGAAAGATATCACTGGTGACCTTTCTAATCCTGAGGTCTTCAGTTATGGGGTGGAAGCCTATGAAGCCTACAAGAAAAACTGTCTAACCAGTGACATCGCTGAGGAGCAGAAAAAGCTGCAGGAAGCTGATCTCGTGATATTCCAGTTTCCGCTGTACTGCTTCAGCGAGCCGGCTATCCTGAAGGGCTGGATGGACAGGGTGCTGTGCCAAGGGTTCGCCTTCGACATCACAAGGTTCTATGATTCTGGTTTTTTCAAGGATAAACTAGCCCTCCTTTCCTTAACCACAGGAGGCACAGCCGAGATGTACTCAAAAGCAGGGGTCAGTGGAGATGTTCGGTACTTTCTGTGGCCACTCCAGCATGGCACTTTGCACTTCTGTGGATTTAAAATTCTTGCCCCTCAGATCAGTTTTGCTCCTGAGTTTTCATCAGAAGAAGAAAGAAAAGCAATGGTGGCATCTTGGGCCCAACRATTAAAGAGCATCTGGGAGGAAGAGCCCATCCGCTGCACAGCCCCTTGGTATTTTGGGGAATAACACTGTGTGTCCCATGTACATCATGTGCGCGATGCAGCTAAGAATACATGCAAGGAGATGGTACTGTCAAAAATAAAATTAGGGGCTGGGGATGTGGCTCAAGCGGTAGCGCGCTTGCCTGGCACTCGGGTCGCTGGGTTCGATCCTCAGCACAACATAAAAATAAAATAAAGATGTTGTGTCCGCCAAGAACTAAAAAATAAATATTGAAAAATTTTTTAAAAAATTTAAAAAAAAAAGAAGGAATATGATATCAACAGATGCTTTGATTTACCCAAAGAACAGGCAATGGAATTGGCGTAAATAGATGTAAGTATAAAACTCATTTTCTCCTTCTTTGTAATTGCTTTTAAACATCACTAACTGAAACAAAAATAGTTGTAATGCACAGTGTGTTCAAAGAATAAGTAGAAGTAAATTATGATGGTAACAGCATAAAGGACAGGAGGAAGGACCTGGGCCTGCTGTTGTGTGCCTTGTTTTTATACTAATAAAAACTACCTCTTATATTTGTTAAATGCAAAATTTTAAAATATTATAGTTTTATGCTTTCTAAATAAAGGGCTTTTTACATATATTTCCATATATTTCCCCATTTGGTTCTACAGCAATCCTGTAGGATGACCTTATTCCTAATTCACTAATAAAGAAATAGAAGCCAAAAGGTCTTAAAGGACTTTCCTAAAAACGTGGTCAGTTATTAACAGAGTTGAAACTAGAAMCGGGTGGGTTTTCTTTAATTTTAGCTATGAGTTAATGTCACCAGTAAACGCTGCAAATTAAATCGACTTCCTTTCATTATTCATACATGAAGCTATTCAAAGCCCTACTAAAACCACTTAATAGCTTATTATCTATGTCTAAACAGATACTTTCAACTATTTTGAAATCAGTTGCTTAAAGACTTCAGCTAGCCAGTATTATTCAGAAAGCCCATCTGCTGGTATCAGGTTGCTAAGGATTTGGTCAGTTTAACAGCAAGTTCTTGCCCACAAGGGATGTGTGGGGAGAGAACAAACAAAGAGCCTCAACTCTGTAATAAAGGCAAGAACTTCATGCTGCTTTCCCTTTGAATCTGAGTGGGACTCTGGCCTGCGTAAAGAGGAACAGAGGGAGTCTGAGGCCTGGGGCTGGGTGGGGCAGGCAAACTCCTGAGGAGGACAATAACAGTGGGACAGTGACAGGCTGGGATAGTGACAGATGGAGGTGAAGAGCAGAACCAATGGATGCTCTTGATCAGTTGGTTATAAAATGTGAATGTGCAGGTGGTGGGGTGGTGGTGGTAGTGGTGGTGATGATACTTTTCTTTCCAGTAGAAAGATAATACAGAAACAAAATAGGGGCCAAACATTCACAATTAGCCAGAAGATAATTAGGAAGCATGCACTTCCATAGAATTTCAATTTACTACAGCTCTCTCTGAGCAATCCATATAAGCCAAAGTGAAAGACGTGGTGCTGATGCTTTTGCAGACAGATCCCAAGTGCTCTCTAGCAGTCAGCTCTTCCTCTTTGGCATCTCCTCAAGCAGTTACCGTTCCACGACAGCAAATGACTTCTGCTAACCTGCTCACAGACACAGTGACAGCAAACTCCTCTGTATCAGAACTCCTCATTTCCCTGCTCATCTCTGCTCAGATCCCAACCCAGCAGCTGACTTATGAATCCTATTGTCTTTGATAACCCCACACAATAAAGTCCCCCTTGACTTCTAAAAATAAGACAGCATACTCCCATGACCATCTCCTTTCACTTAAGAGGCTGCCCTCTTTCTTCTTTACTCCCCTTGCATTATAACCTGCATCAGCCCCAGAATCCAGTGAGGACTGCTGTTAACTTTTCCAGTGACATCCTAATTATCAGTTCAACAAAACTCTCTTAGCTCTTATCCATCCCGACCTCTCCAAAGCATCTGTGTCGAACACCATCGAATTCTGTGGCCTCTCTTCTCTTGGGTTCTGGGACAACATTTGTTCCTGGATTTCCATAGATTTCTCTGGTTGCTCATTCTTCTGGCTGCTATTTCAAGTTCCTTCTTTGAGCCTCTCTTATTCTGCATGGTTCTGGGGATTCCACTCACAGCCATGATTTCAACTACCACCTATTTATTCTCAGGTGCAGCCATGAATCACATGAAGACATTTCAGTCAACAACAGACTACAAGAACTACAGTGTTCTTGTGAGATGCTATTGCCAACGAAGAACAGACATCTTAGTTTGTCTAAGAATATTCTATGATATTCATACGAGGACATCTCATAATGACAAATTTCTCAGTATGCGTTCCTGTTGTTTAATGATCCATGACCATACATATATCTTTAGCCTGGCCTGCTATTTCCCTTTACTTATCAAGGTAGACCCTTCAAATCCAGTCTCTTCCTTCTCCAGCTCAACTGTCTTCTCTCCCTGGTCCCTGTCTTGGTGAAGAGCACTATCACTCAGGTACCCACACTAGAAACCCAAGAGCCTGCTAGCTGCTTGCCACTCCACGGCATCTACTTAATGGGTCATCAGGTCCTGCTACTTTCTATTTTTTATTTATTTTTTTCCTTTTAATCGCACCCTCATTTCCACTTTTATGGTTACTGTTTTCTTTAAAGTAACACCATTTCTCACCTGTTCTACTGTTCCTAGACCTTTGAAGCCAAAGGTCTCCTCATTACCACAATAACTGAAATATGAAATGAAAAGACCTGTGATTTCTACAGGCCTGTTGCCTACATTTATATTCAGAGAGTACACTAAATTTTAGTGAGGGTTTAGTGAATGTAAAGATGCATCAAAAAGTTAGGGGTGTAGCTCAGTGACAGAGCATACAGGAGAGCGTGGGTTCAATCCTCAGCACCATTAAAAAACAAAACAAAACCAAAAAAACCTTTTTCTTGTTCTAGTTCAGCAGTTCCCTGATCTCAATCTATAGACCCCCGGTTAATCCATCCAACTCTAATGGTTTCTAATTCACGATCTACCTTGAAGCTGCAGTAATCTTTTTTAAAAAGAAATCTAAACTTCCATGAGAAAACTTGAGATTTCAGTTATCATTTCTTTCAACACTCTTCTTTCCTCCTCATATCTGAGCTCCTCAAATGAGCCACATTCCCTTCTTCATGTTGTCCCTTTTTTGCTTGTAATAATAATAATAATAATAATAAACCTCATTCTCCTTCTGCATGCAGCAACTGCCAGCCATCCTTTCTGATTCATTCTCAGCACCTACACCAGTGACGTTCCTTGAGCCTCAAGCTGAGGTGTGTGGCCTGCTTGCTCCAGTTCCCCATGGGCCATGCACAAGCAAGCAGGTACTTTCTGTACCACTATGAACAATAGCCTCACTGCTGGAAGCCCCTTTGAGGAATGTGGTATTATTGCTGAATCCTCAGCAGCTGGAACAAGGTCTGACTTAGATGTCAGTTAAAACAATCACCAATTTGGGAACTGACATAAGATGGGCTCCACAGAAAGAATATATTAAATTTTAGAATTAAACTGTTTTACATGTAAGTAGATGTGGGTCAAGATGGGATGAATACATATGGACTAGCCCTAGCCCACATGCATTGCTTCTTGGGCTTCACATGTTGAAGAAACTTCCTAAACAATTTGGACAGAAGAAGAGCTCTACCTAGTACCACTGCCTTCTAGGTTTGAAGCCCTAGCTTTGTTTCTTGCTGTGTGGTGACTCTCCCTGAGGCTTTGTTTGTAGCAAATACGTGGGCAGATACCAGGTTGCTCTAAAACAAAGATGAAATGTTTTGAAACTGGCTTGCATCAAAGATTATATCTCCCTTCTTTAGCTACACTGAAAATATTTAGCACCCTTTACCCCCAGCATATATCTTTAAATAGGTTTAAAGGCAGCTAATCAGAGAGCATGCTTACTCATTTCTCCTCCACGGCTGACTCTGCATGCTGTGTACTAAGATAAATAGAGCATCCAGTGAGCATCCCCTACCAGCAATGGACAGTAGCCACACCAGCTCATGGCTCTAACACCTGATGGGTCTGACCTGGAATATTGTGTCCCTGGCTCCACACAGGGCTGTTAGCCCAACCTCACTGTCGCTGGGGTCAGGTGACAATGTAGGTGAACTGTGGGTACCTGGGGCCAGGTGGCAGTGCAGGTGAACATGTAGGGACCAAGAGAGTTGGGGACATGAAAGACCCTTTTTGTCTTTTATCAAGACTGAACAAAAGATGTCTCCTTTTTTTTTTTTTCTTTCATGACTGAGCCAATTCCTATAAAATTTTATTGACTTTATGGTTTGCCTCCAAACAGAGCCTAGGAAATAGATGATCACAGATATACAATTCTTCCTTCCCTCCTCATATTCAAGGAGCTGAATGAGACTATGAGCAGCACACTATAGGAAACATCTAACTTTAAAGGATTTCCAGGGAAGAAACACTTAAGAAAGGCTGTCTCTTGTTGTTTGATCTTAACTCTGTAGGCTGGGGTATGAAATCTCAGAGGTTGCAGGACACTTGGGCTCCTGCAGTACTATATGGCTCTGAGATCTGAGGCAAGTTGTTTCTTCTGGGCCTCCGTTTCCTTTGATGTAAAAAGGAGATAGGAACTGATGGGGCTTCCAAGGGCATGCAATGGAAGGTCTACAAGCTCTTTCCAATATTTTGGAAAATCTAAAGGACTAGGATTTGTTCACCTTTCTCAGAGATCACTAAACCACAGTCTGCTCCTGCTTTCTCCCATCTAGATTTATGTCAGCTCAGCATGATGACAACTTCAAACTGGTCATCCTCCTATGGTGAGCCCTACAACCTTGTTGAGTGCAGAATGGATGAATAAAGCTATGATAAATGCTCCTTAGTGGAGGCTGTGTTTCATGCTTGAGGATGGGGATATTAAGAAACATGAGGGGCCTGGGAAAGGTTGGGCACTAAATTTAAGGAGGCCACAAGTAGCCATTCCTCTCCTTTCTCCTGGATTAGGGCTATCATGGGAGCCCAATCTGTGCTTCTTCCCCACCCATCCTTAACAGGACAGTGGAAACATGGTGGTCAGGAGCAGGGAGACCCAAGTGGGATGGGTACCTGTTCCAAGCGGCACTTGAGCATGGCCCACTCCATGTCCCAGGCGGCCTTGTCGCTGGCATACTGCTGCTGCAGCCGCAGCCGGGCATGCTCATCTTCCCGCAGCTCCGAACGAAAGTCCTCTAGCAAGGCCTTGAGGGCGCTGAACAGCTGCTGGTTTTCCACCACCTGTGGGAACAGCACGTCAAGCTCAGTTGCCTGAGTGAAGAGCATCCATTATGTTAGAAAAAGAGAGACTCTCGCAGCCAATGGGCCCTGGGGCTGCTTCCCAGGTGCTGCTGGCAGAGAGTGCAGGGTGGGTGGGTGGTCTACACTTAGGTGAGAGCAAAGGATCTCACTGCTGGCCATTGGTCTCCTGGGGACTGCTGGATCAGAAGAGGCTGAGGGAAGGCTTCGCCTGTACCATGCTGCATTCAGGGGCTGAAACTTAGGCCAATGCTGTGGGCACCTGAAGCAGAGAGGTACCCAGGGCCCCAAGGGGCAGAAATGAGGAAACGGCAGAAAATCACAGGTGGCTCTAAAGCCAGGGTTGCCAGGACACCCTATGAGTCTTCAGACATCTAGAACTGAGTTGTGCCTGCTGCTCTGCCATGGGATTGCGGACATAAGAAGATCCTTCCATACAAGATCCATACTCTCCTCCATACATGCTTTCACTCTAGTGACGGCTGTCAGACTAGAAGTGAAATCATGAAGGCCTAGTTACTCCTATATTTATAGGGTGGCCATACTTGGACTGTGGTCACAAAACTGTTTTATCAGCGACAAGCATGGCATGAGGTTGGGAGGGTACTTTGGATGGATCACAATTAGAACCAACAGTAAAATGCTTACCCTGCTTTCTGCAGGCTTTGTTGTGGTCCCCTGAGACTGAATTACTAGCCTTCCCCTTTCTGCCTTAGTACTCTGCACTGGTCTCACCAATCTCATGAATGACAACCACCTCTACTTGCTCATCTTGTTCCTGTCCCACCACCATTACCACTTCTGTATGTATCTGAGGGAAAGGCAGCCCTGACCCACCCCCACATCTCCAGTGTTCTGCACAATCCTTGGCTCAGGTTAAGCATGCAGACATGTCTGGTCAATGGAGAATGGGTTTTTATTATCGACCTGTTTATCTCACATAAAAGACATATTTCCTAAGACCTGTCCAGCCCTTTGAAGGTAAATTTCAAAACCATGATTTCTATCTTAATTTGTGCCAGCATAGGCATTATATTAGAAAGGTTTATCCAAATGAATTAAATACACTGAGTCAATTATGATTCCCTGTTAATATAGACCATGTGGGCCTCTTGTCTCAAGCAGAAAGCACCAGAGTGTGTCCTGGGCTCCCAGGACATTCTTGTTTGGCTCACTTATGAAGCAGGAGGAATAAAAGCTCTCTAAGTCCGGTTGCATGCAGACAAGCTCAATTTCAACAAGACAGAGCACACATTCTCAGGCAGAACCCCATCCTCAGTGAACCTCACTGCCCCATTTAGCAAGGGCACGGGGTCCAGCTCAGATCCTGCATGCTCACAAGTCTTCTTAGTCCTTCTAAAACAATCTAGCTGATCCCCTCAACACACACACAAAAAAGGCTATACAAATATGAGAAGAATTTATGATACCTGGGATATGTTTAGATTTAAATACAGGTAGACTAGAAAATTACTTAATATAAGCAAATTAACTGAAAACTCTGTAGTTGTCCTTGTAATTTAAAGTTATAATATCAGATAGAGGGCTAGGGATGTGGCTCAAGCGGTAGCGCGCTCGCCTGGCATGCGTGTGGCCCGGGTTCGATCCTCAGCAACACATACAAACAAAGATGTGGTGTCTGCCAATAACTAAAAAATAAATAGTAAAAAAAAAATTCTCTTCTCTTCTTCTTCTCTCTCTCTCTCCTCTCTTTCTTTAAAAAATAATATCAGATAGAGTAGACCTGTGATGGAGAAGAAAAGCCTATTTGTTAGTATTTATTGCTCTTGAGTTTTTCTCATCTTGAACAAAAATTTTTACTCAGAAAAAAAGGCAGTAAGAGCACAAATAAGTTATCATTTGAAAATTTCATCAGACAGAGAACCTTCTAAGGATCCTACAATCCTTCCAACCATTTGAGTATAAATAAGTTACCACTACACTCAAGAAGATAGAGGCTCATGAACTGTGTGAAACCTAAATGCAGAACAGTTTTTCAGAATTCCACACCAAGAATATCGAAAAACATAAAAGTATAAAAAAACCCAAAATTATATAAATGCAATTGATAGAGGTGTTTTGACACTCTTCTTAGAAATGTACATCTTCTCAGAGAATTTGATAAAAAAAAAAACTTGCATTTTATGATATTTTCTTAATATTTCCATCATAAAAATCAATACTTTTTGCATCAAAAGAATTTAAAACATAAAATAATGAAAATAAATTTGATCCAGTCTTTGGGGCTGTCATCTAATTTTCACCAAAGAGAAAGTAGAGAACCACACATAATACATTCTTACACATAATCAATAACTTTCTATGAATCCCAATCCATATATGGTTCAATATGTGCTATTCTTAGTCCCTATATCACGTGACTGCTAATAACATTAGAATCAGAACTTTATAGTCCTTTGGCAAATTAAAATTTTAGTTTCTCTGGATGCAAAGCAAGTACTTTTTGGTATTAATAGATATCAGATTCAATAAAATTTACGCAATTTAGGTCATAAATTTTATTGAATACATTTTTGGTATTAGTAGATATCAGATTCAATAAAATTTATGCACATTTAGGTCAGAGTATCCTAAGATCCCAGGACAATATTAATCTACATAGAATGAGCTCCAAAATTGCTTTGAGGAAAGATGCCAAATAGAATAAGAGCCCAGAGCATCCACACTACTGGTATTTGTTATCATAATCACCCAGGAGCAGTGTGTGACATGCAGGAATTCAGGGCAACTTCTACTGTGAATGCACAACAGTCAGAATCGATGTTTGGGTCAATAGTTCTAGAGACCATAATGAGCCATGGGTGAGCACAATTCTTCTAAAAAATTTATATATACATATATATACATTATATATATATAAACAGTAACCAGGATCACTAATATTATTTCCTATGTGCCAGAAATTTTGCTCAGTTATTTACCTATAGGACCTTATTTACAATTCACCTCAATACGGGGTGCAAACTGTCACGCTCCCTGTTTTGCAAAAGAAAAACTATTTCTAGTGACTCAGGGATTACCAAGGTCTCTGTTAAGGAGATAAGAGCCTGGACCACAATTTAGGCCCGTCTCCACTAAGGCCAGACAAACCAACCCTGGAATATTCAAATTCTGACATTATACCTTGCCAAGGTTTTTCTTTTAACTTTGCCTTAGAAAAGCCATCTAATCTCTATGAAACTAATTTCATTTCCTATATCAAGGGAAATAATAGTAAGCTATCTTAAAAAAATGTTGAAAGGTCACTTTATTCATTTTTTCCCCTGGTGGTGCCCCTTGCTGGGCCAGGCAATGGGTAAAATGATGACCAAAATCAAGTCAGGAATCAAATTAAGACTCAGGCCCACTTAGATTTTTTTTAATACTGAAAATCATCTTGGATATGGAGCTTTCAGAACCTTCTGTGCCAGAGGCCCAGCTGTGCAACCTTTTGGCTTGTACATTTGTGAAGTACAGGTAAGGTTCAACTCAAAAACACAACTTTCCAATCTCTTCACAGATCAGCTGATTGGTTTTCTAGCAAAGGCTTCACCATTTCCTTCTCTAAAGGCATTTCTGCCCTTGGTGGCTCATCTCTCTTGGGTAAGGCTTAAAATAATCCTAAAATTGAGATCAGGAGCTTTGCTGCACTATAATGTGTCACACTTTATAACAAGTTCAAAACTGGCTTTCAAACAATCAGACTGCTATTCAAGTCTACAGTAAAAATTATTCATAGAAAGTAAAAGGGGAGTATTAGATAAGGTAATATGCCTATATATTTGTGATACAATGCCAGCTATTTTTCAGACTCATAGATTTCTAAGATGTGCATCAGATGTAATCATACCACCATTAGCTCTACTTGGCTTGCCTCAGATCCATTAACTTTGGAGGCAGGTTTAATCTAAAGTTAAAATAGACATATTGACCTGCTGCTATGGTTGACCCACAAAAAGCCAGTCACAAAATAGAGTTAATGGCCTCAGCCTCCTACTTATGTTATCCCACACAGGCAGGGGAATTCTGCAGTGCTACAGTAGCTGCCCTGACCCCCAACCATGCATGCATAGTTCTACTTGATACACAAAAGAGGGGGATTTTATGCAGCATTCAGTAAACACAACTCCTCATGAGCAGAAAGCTGAGAAAAGACCTTTACCCAAGACTTTCACCTTGAGATTAGCCAGAAACATTCACATATCCAGCAACATTTTTATAAACAAGCAATTTGTCCTTCTTACCTTCACTGTTACATTCAGACTAATTTTAAGATTCTTTTCTAAAACCAATATTCCCCCTACAGATAAAAGAGAATGGGCCATTTAAGACTGACCCTGAAAATATAATCTGTGATGGAAGTTTTCAGGAATGATAGTTTCATTTATGTACAAAAGTCCTTTACCCTCTGGGCAAGAGTGTGCCCAGGGTACCATTCAGGAGGGCTCTGTGCCTGCGTTCTTCATAATTTTCACCAAGAACAAATATGGTGTGTGAAAGAATTAGTGTAGTACATGTTAAATACTTTATAAACATTGAGTCATCAGCTCATAGGCCTAAGAAATCAGGGAAGGTCTGATGAAAATCAGGTGGCCCTTTGGGAAGAAATCAATTCTTAGCAAGACTTAAAGCTTTACCACTTTGGAAAGTATATTGTAAACAGCCAGCTGTGGTTAACTCTGGAAGGCAGGATGAAGGGCAAAGAGAATACCCTCAGGTACATATGAATTTTTATCTATGCTTGTGCAATTTGCAGAGTCATAGAAATATTAATAAATTCATAGCAAAATCAAGTATTGTATTATGTACATCTATAATGCACCAATAAAAAATATGGAAGAAGAAAAAAAAACTTTAAATCATGTGTTTCACAATTATGAGCTCTGGTCTGGTTCCCTGGCATGTCTCCTAGGTGAGGCTGTAAAGCTGAGGAGTCCAAAGAAGTAACAATGGTATACCATGCAAAATGGAAATGCAAATGCTATCTAGACTCAAGAGGAGAGCTTTCTTATTAAAAAAAAAAAATCAGGGAAGTTCACAGTTCTGACATACAGGCCTCATTTGACAGAAGAGATCTTTAAGGAAGTTGTTTTTTAAATCTTCTGTAACACAGAAAGAGGGGAGGAAGACAGCCAGAAAGTCACACTGCTTGTACTGGAGCTGGGCAAGGTCCAGGACCAGGAAACCAAAGGTTCTGTGGCCGGAGGACAGGGCTGACTTTCAGGGCAGCCCCTCCAGGTACCAACACTGCAGCCGAGCCCTAGGTTAGGGACAAGATTCTACTCAGGTATTCAGATTCTACTCAGCCCTGAGATTGGACTGGATGAGATGCTTCAGTGACCAGTAGCAGATGACAGATATGAAACATCATTCCTTTAGCCCAGGCTATGAATTTTATGTTAGGTTCTTCATTTTACACTTATTTGTTTTAATTAAGAATAGTATGTCACATTCTTTTTAAAATTTTTTTTTTGTTGTCAATGAACCTTTATTTTATTTATTTATTTATTTATTTATATGTAGTGCTGCGAATTGAACCCAGTGCCTCAAACATGTTAGGAAAGTGTTCTACCACTGAGCCACAACCTCAGCTCATTATGTATGTCACATTCTTGAATGAAAAAGTAAATTATCTTCTAATTAATTTAATGCCAGGAAGACTAGTTGTCAGAACCATAGGGTCACAATTGCAGCACCATGAATCACCTGAGTTAAAAACCCTAACCTTCAGGAATTACTAAGAAGTAAAAAATGCATAAACAGCCTTAGGAATGTTGACCTTATATGCCCAACAAAAAAGCAGCAAGTGTGTTGGAGTACAGTGAGAACCATCCACATGGCTCTTGTGCATTCTTGGCTTCTGTTCTTTCAGGTAGAGAGGCAAACTCAAAGTGCTTATCGTGCTCAAGAATAACCAGGTCGCAGCCACAAGATCATGTAACTGAAGATTGGGAAGCAGGGAATAGAGCCAAATGTTTGCCAACCTGATGATCTTCCCTGAATTGTTCCCAAGGTACACTGGTACATGTAATTTTATTTTTTATCTCTCTGGACATGATAAATGTTGCCATCTACTATATTCAACAATGAGAATGTGTGATATGACACAAATCAAAAACCAAGGCCTGAGAAATTTTGTTACTTGCTCATTTATCCTTGAGAAAGTGATTTGGCCCTGTTTCCCAAGCTGTTTAATGCTTTATGAGGTTCTCATGCTTCTGAAGAGGCCCCAGCTCTGCACAGCAGGTCTATAAGACACGTGGACTGGCTCTTGCATCCAGGCTTCCTGGCTAATACCCACGCCACTAACAGAGAGGCAAATCTTCTAATCAAGAATGTTCACTCTCAGTAAACCAGCTGTCGCTTACAGTAGAGCTCATTAATCTTCTGTCCTTGGACATATGGCATTGTGCACACAGAGCTTTGCTTTCACTACTGTGGACAGATGAATCAGTGAAAAACAAACCTGATTTTGACTATCTGGATGCTACACAGTTAGCCCATCTGGGTGCTTCTACTGCATGCTATATGTAATGGAAACTCATATGTCTGCCTCACTTTTAAGGGCAATCACGAAAAATTAATATTGGAAAGAACAGGAGGCAAAGGGAAACAACATTAAAATATACTGAATGGGCGGTTCTAACTGAGTGACTTTACATTATTTTCCACCCCAAGGGTAACATTTTCCATGACTGTTGTTTACAAAACCAGATGTGTTACATTTTTTTCCTTTCCCAAAGTATTTGGATGCATGTGTGGGAAACACCCACCAAGTGGTCTTAGATGCAGCAGGTTATGTATAACTGGCCATCAAGGAATACCATCTGAGTTAATCACAGATATTTTTTACGGACTGATTGACATCTTTTAAAAATAACAAAATTACTAGATTTGAAAGCATTATTTGCAAAGTAAGATTTTAGTTTCTAACTAGATCATTGCTGGAAAACTTCTTCCATGATCTAAAACCTCCCCACAGACACCCTCATAATGATGCACCTCCTGAGATGATGGGTAAAGGTTCCCTTGAAAGTCTGTTCCATTTCTTGAGTCACATTATTCGGGGAGAATGAAAGGTGAATACGTGTACAAGGGAAATAGCTGTTTTGGTATGAAATATGATTTATATATGGAGAGAGAGCAGTTGGGGAGAAAACCCCAAATTCCCCCTATATCTGGACTCAGAACATCACAGCTTTCCTCATCTGGATCTGGGCCAAAGTCCTGATGACAACCTCCTCCCACTTGACCCACAGTGGCTCTGGGCGGAGGAGGCTTGAGTGAGAGGAACAGCAGCTACAGAACCCAGCATAGAGGGAGTGCTCAGAAATGCCTGAGGCTGAGGCCGCACCCAATGCCCAGGGTCCAGTCCAGTAGGCTGTGTCCTCACCCCAGGACACAGACACCCTGGGGGGCTCGGGGGTGGCACAGGAGCTCTGGCTTGGCTGTCCAAGCCCTCTAAGAAGAAAAGTTGGGTCAGAGGGACTCAAAGTCCAAGAGTGAGAGAGCTTTACTACAGGGTCTCTCAATTCCTCTCAAGACCTCAATCTTCCAAATCTACTATAGCTGCCATTTGGTAGAAAAATGAAAAAAAAAAAAACATTATATGTTATCAGTAGTTTCTTTTGGTTTATAAAACAGGGTCTATTTCTGTGGGGCTCAGAAACACTTTATAATTACTGAATAATACTGTGATACCACCTCTTTTGGTATATGCTTTCATTTTTTTCAAGAGTTCATCAAATATTTTTATTTGGAGCATTATGTTTCGAGTGGCCAAAGAGAACTTGAAAGACTTTATATAAGTTGAGAATTTAAATTAAAAAACATTGTTCTTTTTTTCCTTACAAATTATGTTGTCAATTCAGTGATGTTGGCAATTGCTGTTTAGCTAATGACAGTAAAAAAAGCCCTGGAAGTTCTTTCTCTGGCTGTGATAGAAGCATTGTATTCAGTGTTCTCAATTCCTTGCAAGAATGGTCAATTTTAAAAGTCCAAGATGATTCTATAAATTTTTTCCTCCTATGATATATTTGCTGGATTCTATTGATCTGATCTGACTACTACCCTTATTTATATGGGTAAGACAGATGAATTAATGGGCTGATACTAAGATAAAAAGCTGAACAATCTGATTCATAGCAAAAATCCAGCATCACAAACAGCAGCAGGGGGCCAGAGTCAGAGGACTTTCCTGCTACCACGAACACCAGACTTGGGAACTTGTAATAAGATGGCACAAATGTGACTTGGGGAGTCTCCTTTCCCAGGGGTAGACAGAAGGATGGGTTTGATCTAGACACCCACCTGCCTGTGGAGTGGTCCCCCATCCACAGCCTGTAGCCGTGATCCATGATCACCAAGCTGCACGGGGACATGTGGGGAACACTCCCCCACTGGAAAGCCAGAGCCTTGGTCACCATCATCTTGGTCTGGTCCATCCACTTGGTGATTCCCCTTGACTCCAAGCTCACCAAGCTCAGAGAGGGTCTCTGGATGCTCACCCTGAAATGAGTAGCATATGATGATCATAGCTTTGCCCTCATCCTTTTGCAATACAGTCTGATTTTGTGTGTGTATGTATGTAATCAGGGAATGAACCCAGAGGTGCTTTAACACTGAGCCACATCGTCAGCCTGTTTTATTTATTAATTTTTTTATTTTGAGATAGTGTCTCACTAAGTTGCTTAGGGCATTGCTAAGTTGCTGAGGCTGGCTTTGAACTTGAGATTCTCCCGCATCAGCCTCCTGAGCCACTGGGATTACAGATGTGAGCCACTGCACCTGGCTAATTTATTTTTTAGTTGTAGATGAACACAATACCTTTATTTTATTTTTATGTGGTACTGAGGATCAAACCCAGTGCCTCACATATTCTAGGCAAGCAAGCCCTATACTACTGAGCTACAATCCCAGCCTGATTCTTTTTTAATGGGGTCTCACTGTATTGCCCAGCCTGGCCTTGAATTTCTGGTTTCAAGGGATCATTCTGCCTCAGCCTCCTGAAGTGGTTGGGACTATTGAAACTATTGTTTGAGGCTAACTATCCSCTTAATGGATTAAGTTCTTTCCTCCTTTGCCTATTTTCCCTAAGATGCTCATTTTGGCTATTTCTCTCATTGACCCTTCTTCCATTTAAATGGCATAGTGTGGGTGACCCATTTATTAGAAAAGGTTAATGAGACATTTTACTTCTTATAAATTAGTATTGCTTCTAGCTATAATTTTATAAATTAGAGGAATTCTATAGTATTGACCAACAGGAAACCTTACTTCTAGCCTTTCCTAGCAAAGGTTTTCCCTGTCATGAACACTTGGAAGCTGGGTGAATTAATTTTTAAAAACTTTTTTACCCTGAGGAAAGAGAATCACCATTCACAGAACAACTTTAAATTACATACCCTGTTCATTAGAGTGGGAAGCAGACAAAAGGTCTTTGTAGGTTCAAAGGAAACCAGCTATTTACAATGCCTTTAACAGGGCAAGTAGTCTGGGTGTGGATGGACAGAATGCACAGGTCAGCAGTTCCAGGCCTATGCTTACCAAAAAGCAAAGCCAGGACAGAGCTTGTGGAGYTAGAGGTCACTCTAATTTCAGCAACAACAACAACAACAACAAAATCAATCAGAAAGCAAATAACTCTGTTCCATTGCTGTTTTGAATTCAGGAATTAAGACATAAAGGGAAGAATATATATGAATTTCAGAGGTGACAAAGTGACCCAGGTGAGACTTAGAAGAGACCCTTATGGCTGTCACAGGCTCTAGCATCTGGAAACGCAAACTATAACAGAAAGGAGAGCAGATATTCTAGAACCAGCTTATATAAACCACCAAAGGTGAATGAGATGGCAAAGGACCTCATGGTGATAACTTCAACGAATTAATAAATTAAGAACAAAGGAGATGACCTCAAAACTTCATTCCAGAAAGGAGTTATAGACCAGGATACTCACAAAACTACTTCCAAGTACAGCATGGAATTCTTGGTTTCATATATAACAGGATAAGCCATTGCATTTCCATGGCTTGGACTGAAATTGACAAAATAATTAAAAATAACAGGACATGGCTTTATGTGTAGGGGAAGGGACAGCAGTGTCTAGGGTCAAGAACAAAACAGATGCAAATAAAATGAACTCTATGGATGGCCTTACCTCCGTAAAATCCTCTCCTCCCTCCTCCATCTGCTYCCCTTGCCGCCAATGTTTCAGCAACCACCTGAGTTTGACATAGAAGAGGAAGATGTTCTGCTTCAAGGACCGGAGCTCCTGCTGCAGCAGGTTCTTCTCATCACTCCAGTTTCGCTCATGGAGGGTGTTCTGCAAAGCCAGGCTGTGCATTTCCAGCTCCTTCCACCTCAAGGCATAGAGGTGCTCCTCCTCCATCTTGAATGAAATCAAAGGGAAAGACTGACACAAGGCTCATTCCAATTTGCCACCTAAACCCAACCAACTGCAAACTGCCATTCAATTTAGACCATCTTACAAAGGAGATGAGAAACACAGGACCCCCATAAGTTTAGAGTGATGAACAACTTGAGGTGCATATGATGTATAAAATCTCATGAGCTTTAAGATTCAGAAGCAGGTGCTATTTCAAAGAAAGGTATTAGAACCATTTTTTTTTTCCCTGCCAATCTCTCATGGTGTTTCTAGATGTCTCTAAACCCCTTCAGAAAAAAAACTGTTTCTCTGATGAATGGCTTGCAGCTGATTCAAATGCCATTTAAGTAGATCCCACTGTGCCTGAGTTGGCACATAAGGGTGCACTGTAATTATAAAGAAGAAAGAAAATGGAAAGCCTTTTCTTTTATTTCCTGAGACCCCTAGTTCCCCAAAACCCCTCATAGAAAGAGAATACCTAGCCAAGAGAAGGCCCACCAAGAGCCAGAGAGCACAGCAGTTAAAGCCAGAAGGAATTTTTTTTTTTAGCTGCATACAATGGTCAGCATTGAACAAGAAAGTAAGTACCTACTTCCACACTGAAGGCTGAATCTACCTATTAGATATGCATAGTAGATTTTCTTAGGGAAATAAAAACATCGCAGAAAAAGAAGATTCTTCCACCTGAGCTCTAAGTTCCTGTTTTGTTGTCTTTCTTCAGTTTGAGAGAGTTTCTCTCTACACCACCCAGGCTGGACTCAAACTCTTGGGCTCAAGCACTCCTCCTGCCTCAGCCACCCAAGAAGCTGGGACTATAGGTGCCCACCACCATGTGTGGTGGCACTCTTCCAAGAGACAAATGATTATTATGTGTCAATAGTGACTAAGCAAGAGGGTGTAAGTAAAATTGTATTTTGTAGATAAGGGCACAAGAATAATATTTATATTAGCTAAAGTGATACATGAGATTAAAGGTTTCTATTCCATAGACCCACCCCATCTCCCAAACAAAGATTAGAATGGCAGCCTGGTCATTATCAGCTGTCCTCTCTTAATTTAACATTCCTTCATGTGCCAAAAAGGGAGTGACTTCTTTTATCCTAAAGAACTACATTATTTCTGAGGAACCTGAGGCTAGGACGATGGCTGCCTAAAGGTGACACCAATATGCTAAAGATGACACCAATACGGCTAATGTGCTAAATAAAGGCCAGGGGAAGACAGAAGTGGCTGTGGGAATGTCTGTGGATCTATGCAATTGTCTCTGTGGCTACTGTGGTGACAATGGTTATCTACTGTACTTCAGGCTGAAAGTGGCAATTTTATCCAGAACCTCAGCAGTCTGGGAGTTCCACCGCTGGCTATCACCCTGTGGATACAAGCTCAGATAAAGTGGGGGCAGCCTGGCACACCAAAATCCCTCACTTGCTGTTGTCTCAGCCACCTGCCTCACTGAGGGAAAAATCCAGCTTCCTCGGGGGTCACATGAAGCCAACACAGCTCTTTCCCTGAGATGCTATAGAAAGATCTCAAGATATCATTTTGAGGGGTGCTACATCTCAAAGGGCCATTCTCATGCCCCTCTATCTGCAGCACCCTGTCCTGGCTCACTCTGACACCCCCCCMCACACACATACATACTGCCCTTTCTGACTCCTTCTGTTCCATGCTTCCAAGTGCTTCCCAAATCTCAGATCTGACCTTCTGCCCTACGACCATGTTAGGGGACAACTTCCTTTAACTTTTGAACAAACCTGAAGGACAATATCTCTTCATTTCTTAAGTCTCTGCTTCAAAATACTCCTTTCTCATTAATCCAAGTACTAGACACACCTGAGATTCTACCATTGCACTATCAGCCTCCAGGGATAAACTCCCTTTTCAAACTATTTTTGGTACAATGCTTTAAAAAAAATCTTTTTAATTAGTTAAGAATTGGTCGTTTGTACAATATGGAATTGTTTTCCTTTGGTAATGATAGTGAAACTTGATTTACAAGCAAAACATTTGAAAAGGGGTATGCCTCTTGGGGGAGAGGATAGCAGAGAATATTCATTCCCTGCTGTTCAACTCTAACCTCCCTAAGCTGCAAAGTGCAGCAGGCGATCCTTTAATCAGTTTGTGACCCATTTAGATCCTCTTGGCCTGAGTCACCCTGGAGGCATATACATACAGCACATATTCCTTGCCAAAATAAATTCTTGGATATACCAGGAACCTTACTTTGCATAGTATTGCATGATAAAATATCAAGGTCCACTATTCAATATCAAATGCTTTGTTCCATTTTAAASGACAGCTATCTTTCGACAGCAAATGCAAGGGGAAACGAGCAGTGATAGCAATTCTGAACTTACATATCTGTTTATAGCTTAATTAGATGCAGGGTGTCAGGGACTGGACTATCCTCGGGAGGCCTAGAGCCAGAATGCCTGTTACCTGTGAATCCCTTCTACTAAGAGCTCTGGGAAAGGATTTAGTGGATAAAGAATAATTAGCCTGTAATAGGTTATTCTAAAATAACTAGAAGTTAATCAGGCCACAGCTCAATTAGTGGCAGTATTTTTGAAGACGACAGTTTAGGATGAGTTGATATTCCTATCAGAAGATTCACTTAACATTGACCAAGGTGATAGACACACTTCCTTGTCTCCTTGCATTTAAGGTTCTTGTTTTATGTCAGTTGCCTGGTTGGTACTGCTACAGGAAAGTTTAGATCAGATATGCAGAAAACTTTCCTGGTACCTTCATGTAAAACACAACCATTGTCCCTTATCCGTGGTTTTGTTTTCTTAAGTTTTAGTTACCCACAGTCACACTCCAAAAATATGACCTAGAAAACCCCAGAAATAGCCAATTCTTAAATTTTAAGTAACATTTATTATAGTATAGTGTTATAATGATTCTATTTTTATCACATATTATTGTTAATCCTGTTCAGTGCATAACTTATAAGTTAAACTTCATGATAGGTATATATGTACTGTATAGGAAAAAGTAATATATTTGGGATTTGGTACTATTTGTGGATTCAGGCATCCTCACAATGCTTAAGACAGGGGAAACCAAAGTGCTGAAATGTGTCTTCCAGAACAAAATGGTGGATAGTTGTCTTTTTGGCACATCTGAGAGGGGGTAGCTCAATTGAGTAACCTTTCTATTTGCCTGTGGGTCTGTACAGGACAGGCAGCATTCTTTTAAAATGCATCATGGCATATCTCCTGAGGGGGCTCTGCAGACCAAGAAGCGGTCATGCTGAAATCCGCGTTAATATTTACCTTACGGATCTTGTTTGTAAATGTCTCTGTGTCCTCTTGATGCAGTCTGGCCGCCTGCACGAGCTGACCCTGTAGCTCTTCTATCGATACACTCTGCTCAGGTAAAACAGGGGGRCCCCTGAGCTGATTGGTGGGATAAAGGAAGGGGTTTAGAAACAAGAACTCTGCCTCAGGTGACAACGCAGGACAGACATCTGCACAAGCTCGAGACAAACACAGAGAGACATGGCACACGGGGTTGCAGCAGTGGAGTGACTCTGCGGCAACTTTCCTGGGACTTTGGGGATGGGGGGATGGGGAGGAGCTGTTGTGTGGGGCTTTACAGCTGTCTGCATCACCTGGTGATGGATGACTCTCCTCCACCTGCCCTGCTTCAGTGGCACACGCTGCCCAAGAGGAACCACACAAAGATCTTCTTATTACACTTCAGGTTACAAACAGGCCAATAAATCTGTGGATTCATTTATTGTTATTTTTATTGCTAAAGTCTACCTTCAAAGTCCAAATAGGCATGAGAAAGTGGTCAGTCACTAATTTGAAATGAAATGTGTTTTACAGAGATGGAAACACTGTCACTAAAAATCTCAGGCATCATTAAAATGTAAGCAAGACATTTTACTCACTGCTTTGTGCTACTTGGAGGCAGATGATGTACAAAACTGGGAATGAGAGTGGATTGTTGCAATAAAAACACATGCCATTTTACTGGCTTGTTTTGTTGACCTTTAATTAATCTGTTACTTCTCACTGAGGACATTGCTTCTCCTAATCTGTCATGAGTAAAAATCATACCCCAAGAACAGGAAATGCAGAAAATAAAACAGCAGAGCCAATCGCTTAGCACAAGGGATAATGTGGGGGTAGGGGGAATGCTCTGCAGAAAGAAGAAAGGAAGAAAAGAAAATCAGACCCACTGGGGTTTCATCAAATCTGGGATAAAAATTTGCAAGTAAGATATCTAAACTCATCCAACCCTAAGAAATTCAAGAACTTCTGAATTAACTGCTTCTTGATTTACTAGTTGTTATTGCAGTCTTTTATATGTGGATTCTCTTTGAAAAGAGGCATTTCTCTACATATGGAATTTATTCCACTGAATTCATCTCAACTAATTTTTCATTCCTAAAAGTTATATTTTCTTATTTTTAAATGTGTGATCTTATGATAGCAATTTTCCCTTTTTTCTATATACCTGCATATTTAATAGTTCTGAACCCACTTTTTATATGGTGTCTGACAATCCTACAATCTAAAGGTCTTAGAATTCTTGCCAGCTCTTGCTGCTGGAGGGTATCTTTGTGTGTTTGAAGTTTTGCACCGTGAGTTCATCTTCAATGGGCAGTAATCTATGGGTCTCACRTGCCACTTGGATAAGAATGTGCCTCAGACTGGCTTTGCACTTGCAGAAGCCAGCAGTAAGACTTAAGTCCCTCTCCTTGAGGATTCCTGGACCAAAGTGGTAACATCAGTTCAAAGCTTGATCCCATGTGAGAGCCAGCTGTGGCTCCCACTCCCAACCAGAGCCCACGCTGTGTAAACAAGTGTCCTGCTACCTCTCTCCTGCCCAGCAACCAGGAGGCAAATATTTCTCTTGTGAATTTCTTTCCCTGCTTGTGTTGGGCCTAAGGCTCTGTCCCTTGTTTCCATCCACCCACCTAGCCCAGATATTGCTCTTGTTTTCAATTCTGAAATAAATTCCAACCCTTGAAGACTCCCTATTCTTAGAATTCAGCTATGTAAATAAGAGTTTTATATTTTATGCAGCATTTTATTCAGCAAACACTGTGCACTTGTAATACAGGCACTGTTCAAAGCATTGGGGTTATGATAATAGATGAAGTTGCCCAAACCCTACCCCCCTCAGGGGTCTTCTCTTCTACCACTCAGTTGTTTTCTGCAAGAATGTTTTCAGGCAGCCTGGGCTGCTCAGCTGCTGGCTTGACTTTTTAGTTACAAATTATTCCACAAATTTAAGATGCAAAGACTGTCCACATTTTAATGCATTAGGTGCCAGCCAAAGTTTTGAACTATTTCACATTAAAACAGATATCCTAATCAAGCTTTTTTGTTTAATTTAGTTTCTAYATACGTTGAGTAATCCTTCATCCACAATGCTTGGAACCAGAAGTGTTTTGGATATTTTTTTGGGGGGGAGATGGACTATGGAATATTTGCAATATGAATAATAAAATATCTTGGGAATGGGACCCAAATCTAGGCATGAAATTCATTTATGTTTTGTTACCTTATAAACACAGATGGAAAGTAACTTTGTTCAATGTTTTTAATAAATTTGTGCATGAAACAAAGACTTCATGGTATGGAATTTTTCACTTTTAGAGTCACACGGATGCTCAGAAAGTTTTGGATTTGGGAGCATTTCATATTTCAGATTAGGGATGCTAACCCTGTATTAGGTTGGCTTCAATCGTAATAAATATTTAAATTATTTTTATTTCAAACAGAGAGATAGCCTCATACTTCAACATCATTTGATTAAAAACATGCTCTTCTGATTAAAACACACCTTTGAAGAGTACCGTTGAGATCCACATGTAGACTGTTGCCTGGTTAACAACAGAAACTTACTGATCAATCAGAAGTTTCATTATCCGGTATGGTCCATTTTTGCTAATGAAATATTAAAACTCCTATGGGTAGCTGCTCCTGGATGGGATGCCAATGTCACTCCAGTGTTACAAAAACAAAATACAAACATGCCAAGGCAAGAGTTCTGGTCTAGAATGACTCCCATTGCCACGTGACTGCATATAATCACATACAACTGGGGAACATTTTCACATAACATATACATTTCCTCTAGGAAAAAATATACTTCCCTTTACTATCAATTCCCCAAAAGTTTTATTCTAAAAGTCATCCTTTGCTCACTTACCTAAGATTCTGGTTATAAAACAAATTCACCTTGATCTATATGGTAGTTTACTTAAATGAGTGCCATTCACACTTGTTTCCAAGGCTGTCTAGACATTAATCTTGACATCATAACCACCCTTCACCCTGAGCCAGCATTCTGAGATCCAATGCCATCCTTCTGCCCATAGGGGTTGAATCCCAGAATGATTCGTATTGTTAATTTCCTGACCGTCCCCAGAAAAAGTGACTTATAAAATCTTTCCACCCTTAAGATGATAATGTCACCATCTCAATAAACAGAAAGAGGAATGCTATAATAACCACCAATGCTACTTGTATGTTATAGGTCTACAAGATCTCCATTACCACAACTTTGTTTCTAGTGAGAGTTCCATTTTGTCCTGGCCAATTTTGGTACCACCTCTTTCAAAAGCAGTATATGAGGTCAATACATGTGTACAAATACTTGGCATAAACCCCACGTAGTTTCACTGTGGCTGGTATTTCACAGCTGAGACATAAGGGATCGCAGATGTTCCGTGTGCTTGGTTGATTAAAGGATAAAAGGGAGAGCTAGGGAGAAGAGCTCTTTGAGATTTCTGACCCAGAAACTCAATCCTCTGGGCACAGGCTTGGTTTCATTTATATGTGAAATCTGACCAGTGTCCATGCTTGGCCACTTCTCATTCAGAACTATTTTTAAGACTCCTAGCACATTCCATATGAAACATTCTAAACACTGCGTACTCCTAACAAATGTGTCTCTCACAGAAGACCTAATGGGAACCATGGGGTGAAGACAAGGAAGAATTCAGCACACAGTGGGACCATCTTGCCAATATCTACTGAGATGAGCTTGTGCTTCTGAAGCACAGGAGTACTTGTGCTTTCGAAGTTGTTTTGCTGTTGTTTAGGTTGGGTGTGGTTTTTTAACAGTTAACTTCTGCACAATTACAATAGTGGGTGAGTTAGTGTTTGTGAATTCTGACTTCAGTTTTCTCTGACTGTGGCTGTTTTGAAGAATGCTGGCCTTGAATATACCTCTTCTTTCTTAGGTCTAGTGAAGGGTGGCATCTGAACAGCCAGCCTCTAACACCAATTTGTTATCCACTGAAAAGGGCTAATGTATAAGGATGGACTTTTCCTTCTTCTTCTTCCTGGTGTTATCACTGCTAACCTGGCTAAATACCCCCAACCTTCCAAAAATAACATGACTTCTTTCCCCTGTCCTCAGATATGAAAATGCATAAGGCCAAAATCAGAAGAGAGCCATTTCACAAATGGGAGTTGAAAAACTGATTCTTTAAAAAATATTCTGTTTAAATTCAAAAAGTTGTTTCTTTTACACCATTGAAGCTGGGTGTCCTATGGGACTTCTCTCTTAAACCTCCCAGGAGCTCTGAAGGAGGTTCACCCAGGGATAGAAGTAATTGGCTTGAGGATAAAATTAGTTTTTTTTTTTAAAGGGCAATGTAACAGGGAGCAAAGACAACTGCTAGCAGTATGTCACCCAGCTTCATGTTAGCCTCATTCTGGATGAAAGCGTCCATGTTTGCAGGTGAAGTTGTAGCTCCGTGGAAGAGCGCTTCCTAGCATAAGCATGTGCAAGATCCTGAGTTTGATCTCCAAAGGGTGGGGTACAGGGGTGGAGGGTGCCCATGTTTGTCTTTTCCCCAATGACTCTGGAATCCGTGTGAGTCTAACACAGAGTGGCTTCTCTCCTTGGGCTGTGCTGCTAATGGATGGGAGCTTTGTGTGCCATGTCCACAACAGCCTCATAGGAGGGCAACTGTTGGCAGTGAACTTAGGGATGTTTTCATTAAAAGGCTTTTTCTGCTTCCTGGAACTGCCCATTGTACAATTCCTTAACACAATGCAATATTCAAGGACCAAACAAGTCTGTCAGAGTGATAACCACACCAGGGACAGGCAGCCTCTGCCACCCAGGCTTGATGAGGGATCCCTGCTCAGCTCCTCTAATAAAAGGAAACACGACAATAGTATCAAAGGGATTTCAGAACACGTTTCATTAAGAAATTTTAAAAATAGAATGTGTTTGCATACTTGAGTTCTGTCTTCTGAGCAAAATGCCTTTTTGAATAAAGACATAAGAACAAAAGACACATAACTCCAGATTAYCTCCATTACCCCTGCTAGGAAATGATGTTTTGGGTTTGTTTTATTTATTTGTTTGTTTGTTTATTTATTTTTATTTTTTTACCTGACCTATCACTATTGGGTTTTTATTTTATAATTGAAATATTTAAAATTAAAGGAAACTAGATGGGTTTTTAAAAGAACCATGCCATGGCAAGGTAGCCATAATGTCACCTGAGGATGGCCAGAAACGCAGCCCAGTGGAGGTAGTAGGCTCCATGCTGACAGGTGCCCACAGTCACAGAGAGCTCCAAAGCAGTCTTAAGAACACTGTTCTAGACCCAGTTCTGCCACCCACCCTCTTGGGCAGTTACCGGCAAGCCACCAAGCCACTTCACTCTGAAGACCGCGTTTTTCTCCTTCAAAGAATGAGAGAATTCGTTTGAAGACCAGATGTTCCTATCTGAGTTACATTGTTTGGTGATCCTATGCCCACCAAATGGTACCACCCAGCTCCGTTCATCTACCTCTTATGCAGGTTTACTGTCCCTCGATATTCAGTTTGACTCAACTGAGTACTTTTCTCTTTCCAAAATCGCTGCTGGTTTGTAAAGTTCTGCGTTGCGTGTGTGCATGTGGCACCTTATTACTGCACCAGTATTAAATAATAAGCACCCAGCAGGAGTCCAGGAGGGGATGAGCTTTCTGACAACTCACAGAGCTTACGTAACTAAGGCTGTGTGACAGACCTTGAATGATGGGGCACCTAAGAAGGAAGCCACAGTTCTCATAATTAGTCCTTCAGTGGGAAGAGGCTGCTGAGGCAGCCTGAGCTCTGATTCTGATTCAGGAAGGGAAACAGCCAGTAGAAAAGGGGAAAGTGCTACAGTGGGCAGAGAAACTGGTACCATGACCAGGGGAGCATCTGGCATTCTGCAATGCTGGGACATACTGCCCTGTCTTTAATTTTAATCCTACTTTACACTGGCATAGCATTCGGTACTTTTAAAAGTACTTCCTTATTCAACAGCTCATTTGTTCTAAGAATCATCCACCTATAACCATGTGAGGAAGACAAGGCATCTTTATTCCCATTTGACAGAGGCCCAGAGAAAACAGAGGCCCAGAGGTTCGCCTGAGAAATTGAGTCAGTGATGGACACATTAAGGTTAGAGCCCCAGGGCTCAAGATGTCCCTGCTAGAAATAACTTAGTAGTACAGTGTTAACTGAAGGTTGGGAAATGAGTTTTCCGGAGGTATCCATGCTGAAGACGGATCACTCAGGACATCTGAAATGTGCATAATTGTGAGTTTGTGACTGCCTAAGCAACCAGCATTCTCAGATGAAGACCCTGTGTGCAATACGAGCTAACAAAGGCGTTTCCTGGGAAAGTTCCACAGTGTTCTGAGGCACTAACTCCCAAAAACCAAATGAGTTCTGCAAATATTTGGCTATTCTGTTTAACTTTTGGTATAAAATCTAGGCACATCGTACTTGCCATTTTGGAACAAGAACACTGTGAAATTGATGTACCTTATGTATGTCTAACTCTGTGTCTGAAGACTGTGTTCAGGAAATGTTAAACAAAATGACAGGTTCTGGGTACTTTGACTGGGAGGCACCAGGCATCCCTGGACAGACTGTAGAGATCTGCAGGACATGCTGAGCTTCTGGCTATTCCCAAGGAGGCTGGTACCACTGTGTGCTTTTGTAACACCTTCAGGAGCATGTGTACCTCCCTCTAGGATGTGAACCTGGGTGCCAACTTCTTAGGTTGGGTCTGGCCTCTCCAGATAACATAAGAACGGTGACACTATATAGACTGTTTCTGAACACTTTTAAAATTTTACTTATTTAGAGGTGATTTTCAAATTCTCATGTGTCTAATCACAAGGGCAGAGATGTGACACACTCCTTTTCAGAGCCAGGGTTAGAGCTGTTTGTATTCTTCTGGGCGAGGCAGCCCTCCCCCACCATGCCCACCTCTGATAATGGTGCCAGCAGTACCCCCCCACCTCATCAGCAGCACCTCTGCCTATTTCCTAACCAAACAGCCTGCCTTTCCCAGCAATCGAGCCTCACCTCTTACCCACCTCTGTTACTCAGCTGTTCCCACCTCGCCCTCACTCCTGCCTGGGAGGAGATGCTCCCATGCCTCTGAGCTAAGTGTTAGCATCCCTCTAGGGACTGAGAAATTAAAAATCTTTATCAGTATCTCCAGAGTTATGGTCCTTTTCTAATAGACAACCTGCTGTTCTAGCCCTGCCCAAAACCTGAGTGATCAGCAAAGTAACAGCCCAGGCTCACTCCTCAGGAACATCTTTCTGTTCTGGCTGGGCTATTTTTGTCTCGGAGCTTCCCTCTCACGGGACTGCAGATGACTGTGATGGCTCAACAACAATGCAGGTGTCTGTACAGGTGGCTGCAGGTTTGTGCACGTGGGTTTATCATGGCAACAGAGACAGCTGTGGATACCACACAGGTTGGGAGTAGACATCCCTAATTCCCCACTGGCTGAGACACTGTCCTCAGGGACCATGGAGGAGTCACATGACGCATGGGCAACGAAGGACTGAAAAAGAAAACCCTCAGGAGAGTTTCTTCCCTAAGAAAAAGCCAGCTTGGGTTCTACCCAAGTTTCCCTGCTGTAGAATAAGAAGCCATTGAACACTCATAAATAGGGCCAGCCATGCCCGGTCACACCTCCAGGCACTCCTGGGGCCAGGAATGCAGGTCCATGGGGGGACAATACTACAGTGAGCCATCACTTCCATCTGACAATGAGGGTGGCAGGTCCAGTTGTCATTATGCACAATGACATATAAGTTCTACCTGGTCCCATGTCCTCCTGCCATGTTCCCTAAGGGACCTGTCCCAGATGAGAAACTGCACAGCCAGCCACATGGCAAGAGAGGAAAGTGGGATGGGGAGGGCAAGGTAGGGACTGACCTCTAGGTTGAAGCAGCTCTGGCCTCCTGCCCGGTGGCTCCCTGCATCCCCGTCAGCCCGACGGTGCAGCTCCCGTGTGGCTCGGAGGCGAAGGCTTTCTCGGTCATCCCCTCGTTCCTGACCAAGCTGCCACTCCAGCTGGTCTCTCAGTTTGGACTGTTAGGTGCATGGGAAGGATTCATTTTTTTGTTTTTTTGTTTTTTGTTTTTCCAGGAGGAGGTTAAGTTTTTATTTTTAACAACAAAAACAGGACAAAGGGGTGGGAGGGGCAAAGAAAACAAAAACAGGTAAGATAGACAACTGAAAAAAAACTACCAAAGAAAAGCATGAGCAGAAAAACCAGCTTCAACACAATGGCAGAGGAGAGTGAAAAGAACAGAACAAAGAATGCGAATGAGCAACAGCATGGGCCGAAACATCTGGAAAGCAAAGAATGCGTGGGGGATGCAGAACACTGGTTATGAGGCGCATGCAATGGGGATGCGTGAACCACAAGTCGACTGCAAGCACACTACCCATGAAGGACACAGAGGACAAGGCTCTTCCTTCCTTACGTGTGGGTCGAGCAGCAAAAGCCACAATCCGGGGCGGCAGCGGGGCCATGCACCCCAGGGCGATGCCTGGGAAAGCGGTCCTCSTAAGGCTGCTCCACTCTGCCCCTTGCCCTCGGCGGTGCGGGAGGGTGGCGGGAGCGAGTCGGCAGCGAGATTTTTTTTTTCCATCAAAAACAGCCTTCTCTCAGAACTGGGCTCCTCTCCCCCATCCTGGCTTATCTTCCAGTGGGAGTGGGTGGGTCTGGGCTGCCTAGGGCCTCTCAGAACTGCACTGTGTCCCTTTGGTAGTAAACCCAAGGAGGGATTCGGGCGCTCGTTAGCGAGTCTGCTACTCATCCTGACTGTGACAGGAGTTGGTACTTTGGTCTTAAACTCCTCATTGCTTCTTCAGCAGGGTGGCGGGTTGGTTTTGAAACACCGAGAAAGGAGCAAGGATGGGCTGCGTCGATCCCTAGCGCCTCCACTGGGCTTAGCCTTTGTGTCATGAGAGGGCCTCTAAACCACAAGCGGTGGTGCAGTTAAAAAAAAAAAAATCAAAGAGGAAAACGGAGAAACAAGGAAATAAAACAAAACAAAAAAATAACAAAGGAAAATAAAAACGGAAAAAAAAAAAAGAAAGAAACCCAACCAAGAGACAGGATTTGGTTGACGCCGGAGGCTTTAGTACAATGCAGGTCTGAAATCATAACCAAGCAGCCGTGAGCAGCGCCAGCCCGAGAGCAGCAATGCCAGCGAGAAGGAGGAAGAGCAAGACGGAGCAGGGAGGCGAAGCCAGGAGCCCCCTTACCTGCAATTCTGGGACTAGCTCCTTCCCCAGGTTCCCGATGGGGGAGTCCCGGGACACGGAGGTCATGGTGGAGAGGAAGCTGGAAGACTCTGTGAGGTGGGGCAAGGGTGACAGGCCGTCCCCAATCCGGGTCACCTGTTCCAGAAAGGCCTGCAGCTCTTTCCTGAAAGCCTTCATCTTCACATTGATGGTCCCCAGAAGGTGGGGTTCACTCTGGGCCCCCTCACCCCTCTCGCCCTCACCCTGGACACCATGTGAGGCCAAGCTGCTGCCCTGCAGCCCTGAGTCATGGATGAAGCCATCAGTGTCTGTGATGAGGCGCTCCACGGATCGCTCTAGCCGCTGGGCCTCGTGCTTTATGGTTGCCAGGCACTCGGTGTCCTCCCGGGCCCTCAGGAGCTCTGCTGGACATGGCTCACTAGCCTCTGATGGTTTCCCACTCCCAAAGCCTGAAGTCTTCTCAAACATGTCTTCTGAGTCACTCTCACCGCCAACTGGGCCTTCCCGCTTAGGCTGGGGCAGGCGGCCCTCTTCCCCATCGCTCTCCTTCTTGCCTGTGTCGCTCTCAGCATCACTGTCCCGGGGGCTGGGGGCATGCAGCCCCAGGTGGGCAGCCAGGTCACAGCGCTGGACATTGGACAGCAGCACCCGGTTCTCATACTGCAACTTCAGCACCTTCCCACTCAGCTCATTGATCTGCAGCCTGGCTGATTTCAGCTCCTCCTGCAAGGGAGCCCCGGCCCCAGCACCCTTACATGAGCTGTCCCCAAGCCACCCTGGCTCCTGGCGAGGCTCATACTTGAACTTGCTCAGCTCATGGGTCAACTGTCGGTTGTGGTCTTCGATTTCAGATATGGACCTCCTCAGCAGCTCGGCTTCCTCTTCCACAAACTGCAGGTGAYGGCGGAGCTCCGTGGAGGACTCCAGGGAGTCGCCAAAGGGTGAGGTAGGAATGCTTGGCACGTGGTCCCGGCCCATTCCCTCCCGCTCGTGCTGGACCCGCATGTCTTCCATCTCTGCCTTGAGGCCTCGGTTCTCCACCTCCAGCTCCACGATCTTCCGGCCCAAGATATTGGCTTCCTCCTCCACCAACTTCAGCCGCAGCTTCAGCTCTGCCTCTCTGGTGCTGGGGGGCCCCCCGGCCTCCCCCGTGGGGAGGGGACTGTCCACATCACCGTACAGGGACTTATACTTCTGGAGCTCCTGCTCCAGCTCATCCTTCTCCCTCCCAAGTTTGGCCATCTTTTTGCGCATCAGGGAAGCTTCCTCTTTGGCAAACTGGAGTTGGCACTTCAAATCGGCACTGTCATCCTGCCAGCAAAGAACAGCCCGAGAGAAGGGTTATTTGAAAATACCAAATGTTCGTGTTTTTGATGATTCCCCTCGCACCTCGCCCCCAACACACACACACACACACACACACACACACACACACACGCACACCCGCCGATCTTGCTGTCAGTGCTGTCAAGTTACATGGAGAAGGAGCCAAGACAAAGCAGTGGTGAGCCCAGGGCTTTGTGGAAGGCACCTAGGAAAGGCCCACAGAATGTTGCTTTGTCAACCAAACAAGAACTAAAGAATTAGTTTTGGGGAAAAAAAAAAAAAACATGCACATGAAGAACATCATATAGGTTATAAATGAAGAAAGAAAATAAAAATAAACCAACACTCATTGGTAATACAGTGACCCCTCATGACGGTGAGTTGAACCTGGTTCATCCCCCCCAGCAACCACCAGAGAGACATCAGAACCTCTCATAAGAGCCTAGTATGGCCAACAGGATTCAGGGGCCACATCCAGCCTGTGGCTTCTCACTTCATCTATAGTGCAGACCCCTTCATTCCTTGCAAGGTAGTACCTCTACAAGGTACTGCCAGGATGGGGAAAGCAAGCAACCCCAAATAAGAGCCCAGCTTTCTACTGATGGGTTATATACCTGAAAGAGGGCAATTCACCTGTCTACCCTGCTGCCTCCTCTTCCTCAAGGTACATCAGAATAACATGAGGATGAAACAAGGGGATGATGGGCAAGAGGGGGCTTTGAAAGTTTTGGTGCTACTTCAGTGCCAAGCACCGGTAGGGAGAACACAATGACTACTACACACCTAGACACCCCCACTACTCCCAAGCTCTCACCACACAAGGGCCACTTCAGGGCCTTTGGTCCCATTCCCCTCCTGTCAGCTGCTGTGACACAGCAGGAAATCAAATCCAGAGACCTGAGGGAAGGAGCTAAATGTTGGACAGAGTGAAGTGTTTTCAAATCAGAGTAGTAGTTCATGGAAGAATAGCACAGCGGAATACCAGAGGATTCTGGAGGGCCTCCAAAGGAGCCTCTACCACTGAAGGCCTACAATGTATGGYGGAGGTCAAGAGGGCACTTTCTGGACCAAGTGCAACATCAACTCTACCTTTCCATTGTGGATCCCTGTACTTAGAAGCAGTATGAACTCTCCATTTTAGTCTTAGAAAAATTTTATATTAATCACATTTGATGAATAGGCACAATGACCAAGGGAACAATGACCCATTCCATGATTCATTCCTCTTTCACTAGCAGAAATTCCAAATCGCTGATGGGACAGAGAGGAGACAGCAGCAAAGGCTTCCCCATCACTTAGATAAACTGTCAGCAGCTCGGAGACTCATCTGCTGTCCTGGCTGCTAACCAGGATTGGGAACAAGTCAACCCTCTGGGAGAGAAGAATTAACTCTTGCAGAGCTTCACCTGCATTTCACCTGCATTGCTTTCATGCTCAGAGAATAACGGCTCACTCTGCCAGATTCTGGCAGCCACTAGCCACGTGGCAGAAAGACAAAGGCATACCTTCCTTGGGGCCTCCCGGGTTTTCACCTTGCCTCCTGCCCTGATCTCTTCTCCTTCATCACAAACCCACAGAAATGGGGGAAATGATGTGCCAAAAGACTCAGGAAAAACCCATGACCAGGCCTTTAGCCAGTGCAATGTGGAGGGCATGACCAGGAGCTCTCCCCTGTGCCGTGTGGATGTTGACACTCCTAGTGTCTTCCTCAGGACCAATAATAAAACCAGCACAGCTGGTCTTGGGGTTAAATATGCTGCCCAGGATACTAACTCTGGCCCCTGCCATCTGGGGACCTGGGTCAATTGCAGAGTTCTGGTGAACCTGTCTCCTTATGTCTAAAGCAGAATTTTCAAACTACAAGGTCACTGTAAAGGTCACCAAAATAATATACAACAAATTGTAAATGGCATTCACCTGACCCTACCCACTTTTTTCTTTGTCTGAAATGCAATTAATATTGGGAAAGAAGCTAGTGTCTCTACTTTTTTTTCCTCATTAAAAGAATGATCTATAAATGTTACATAGTCTTTGAATTCTGATTTGGTTTATATTAAGGACTTGGTTTGGTTTTGGTTAGGCTCATATAAAGAGTTTCTGTGACTAACTGGGAATAAGGCTGCTGCCCTCTCAAAACCACTGAGTAAAATGGATTATCACTGATCTTTTATTTTTTTTAAAGGCCTACATAGATCACCACATGGGCTATAAAAGACATTCATTGTGTTTCATATCAATACTGATAGAAAAGCATGGCTGCTTATTTGTTCATTCATCCACTCTTAAATATTTATTTTTCTGTACCTGAAATCAGCAGGCTATTTTTATGCAACCCCAGTTTCTTAGAACTTTCTATAGTAGAACCATCAAAAGCACCTTTCCAATTTTTTGTCAGACAAAGATGTGCGAGGAACCCAAATACACCAACAGGTGACAGGTCTCTGCTGTTCAGTTGAAGGAGTTGAGTTTATGGAAGGCTAAAATACATCCATGAAAATGGAGGCTGACTGTAAATACTTTATAGATGAATTCCTTTGGGAATTAAATGCAAGTTAGGGAAGACAGGAGAGGTTCTCGGCCCATTCTTATCTGGAGAGATGGCATTTATCCACAGTCCAAAATTGCCTCAAGACTCCCACCTCCACCTCAGGAAATCTGGGCAGCAGGGATCACTGAAGAGAAGAGAGTGTCTTCCAGCTATAGGGACCCTCCGCTCCATCCTCTGTCCACCTCCAGTCTGGGACCTTCTCCATCTGCCAACCCCTGGCAAGTCYGACTATCAGCAGCACAATCCCTGGCCCACCACCAGCCTAAACCCAGGTCAGTTAAAGCAGCAGGATGCCCTACTCAGTGTTCGATTTGRTATAGATTACCTGAGGATTGATTAAATGTCCACAAAGTCTTCTCATTTCCTAAAGAGAGGAACTATTCACAGCAGGAACTCTAACAGATGATAAACATGCTGTCAACACCCAGGCATGCACTAGGAGGCCTGCCACCAGGACAAAAGCAGAGTTATAAAGAMAGACAAGCCAAGGGAGTGAGTGTGGTAGTTGGAAGGTCAGGCTTCCCCTCCGAGGGCCTGCTGGGGAGGTCTGCATGTAGGAGAGGATCCCCCAGCCCCCAGGGAAGCTGAGCTTGGCTGGCCTGTTCTGGCTGGGGGAATCCACTCCTAATAAGATGGGAGGCGGGATACCCATCTTACTTTGTGACTGAAACTCTGCCACGACTGGTGGAGGAGTCAAGGCTGAATCCTAAACTTAATCATATCAGGCTCTGGTTTCAAGAGCCCTTTGGATAACTCCAGAAATGCAGCACGAAAGTACAAGGTGGAGTCCAACTTTCCACATAAAACTACTCCCGCTGCGGGCAGAGAAGGCAAGCGTGGCAGGCGGGGTCAGACACACAGGGACCAGCACCATCGCCACCAGCTGGAAAGGGCTTGTCAAGCAACAGAAATATATCGCTGTCAGTATATATTCTTTGGCTTGCAAGTCTGCCATCCGGCCAGCACCCCAGCAGCTGACTGCCCACGTGCCTACCTTGCGCCGGGGTGCCAGCTTCCTTTGAGTTTTGGTGGCCGACCTGCAGTTCCCAAGGCGCTCCATTCCACCATTCTGCTGAATAGAAACTCCTTGCTCAATCATCCCGCAGGCTGAGTGGGGCAACTCGACACATCCCCAGACCCCAGGGTCACTGACACATATCCAAGGAGCTACTAGCTCCTGTGGTTGACCTGCTTTACCCACAGGCCAATCACCCTCTACAGGAAAAGCCCTTTGATAGTCAAGGGCCAGGAAACTGAAAACATACTCTGAGCCCAGGAAGGTGTAAACACACTGCAACAGAGCACCTTTTTAATTTTCCTGGATGAGTGGATTTCAAGTTGAGATTTGGGGAATGAGAGAGGGTCGAAAAAGTTAATCTTTGGCATTCCTGCTGCTCACTTGGCTGGGCCCTCCTCAAATAACACCAATGGGATCTGTGAATTAGGAGGACACAGAAATCAGAAGGAATCATGAAGAGGGGAGCTTCCAGGGTCAGGGCTGCACCAAGGCTCTTAGTTACCCCAACTTATTGCATCTCTCTAATTACCCCTTGCTCTAAGAGTTCAGCAGACTGATACCCCAGAAACTCTTCTTTCTCCAACATCTAATACTATAGCAGCAATTTTAAAAGAAGAAGAAAGGAACCCAGTAAGACAACACTTCAGAAAAGCTAAGGCGGCTTTAAAGAACACATACTGTATACATAGAAAGGGCTGAGGTTTTACTGTTTTCCCAGTTAGAATATTTTACTTTCCATTAGGACAATTTAAGACATTGTCAGCCTGCACGTTGTTTAAAAAAAAAGCACTCACACACAAAACAATGGCTTATGAATGACCCAACCCTCCAGTGGCTATGTTATTTTACTATGTGAATGACTCTGAAGAACAAAATACCTTCGAGACAGTACTGCCAGACCACAGACTACACCTAGTTATGCTTCACATAAAGCCAGTTTGTTCTCTTTCCTAAAGAAAGCTGCAGCTTATCAGTGCAAGAGAGAAACAAAAGGAATTAGCTACAGCCTTGGAAAGAAAATGTTCACTCCATAGAGATTTTGAATGAGTCCAAGAGTTTTGGCGGGTGATGTTTCTTTGGAGGTTTTAAAAGCAAAGCTGATGTCTGTGAGAATATTCAAAATGAGGTGGCTTCCTTTGTAGGAAATGTGACATTAGAACAAAAGCCTCAGCTTACCTGGTTAAAGGTTTTCTTCTCTTTGAACATTTCCCGACTGCCTCTTCTCTTTAGGGAACTCTGAAACAGATCCAAGCAACATTCTGTTACTGAGGGGTCACACAGCACAGCCAGCACTGGTGGGGACATACATGCATAGAACTATTTCCTCTAGAATCAGGAAACAACTCAAAATTAACATTTAAAATGCAGTTGAATACATTTGTTAAGGTGCTTTACATCCTAATTATTATATTTGGAAATGCACTCCTCAATCATTTAGCTTTATGAGAAAGGAGGTGTTTTGGACAATTTGTAACAGTGGAGAGAAGGCAAGAAGAGGAAAAAGGTAGAAGTTTCAGAGCTAGATACATAGATATCGAGAGAAACTTTAATACCCAATTATATTTTCCTTGGGCTGCTATCAAAATTAACTGATGTTTCTTGAGTGGACAGATAAAATGTGGCAGGAAGAGAAAGAAGATTGGCTCTTGCTATAAAGAAAACCTATTCTACATTGCAAAYTTCTTGAAAAACCCACTCCAATTCATGATTAACCAACATCGTAAAGATCCTATACAGCTCATAATTTATTCCTATGTTAAAGTAAACTTAACTGTGTCCTTCAATGGTCTGGGTCCCTGGCTAGTTTTCCATATAGTAGCCTCTTGCACCAAGAATCTAATGGCATTGGTTCCAGTACCCCCTCCCCCATTCAAGGATACCAAAAGACTTAGATGCTCAAGTCCTTAACAGAATGATGTAGTCCCCATATATAATCTATGCGTAGCCTCCATATATTTTACATTACCTCTAAAAGATTTATAATACCTAAACAATGAAAATGCTATGTAAATAGCTGTTTGATAGTATCAGGTGGTAATGACAAGAGAAATGTCTGTATGTATTTGGTACTGATGCAATTTTTTTTTCAATGTTTTCAACTCAGGGTCGGTTGAATCCAAGGGTGCTGAATTCTCACACACAGAGGGCTGAATGTCTAGTGAAAGCACYGCAGTCATGGCTGTTTGGTGCCACTACAGGTGCATCTTTGCCCWTGCCAAGCAGGAAATTGCAAACAAGTATGAAATACAAACATGAATTTGAATAAAAGGACTAAGGGATGCCTGAAACAGACCAACAGGGAGCTAGCACTCTTCTTGCTAAGATGAGGCATGAAGACAAAAAGAACAAATGGAGGAAGAAAAGCATCCTAGAGGAATACAAGATGATTTGTGGTCTCTTAATTTGAAGAGATTAAGTTGATCCTAAGGTAAGTTGAAAACAATCAGCTGGGGAAGGGAAGCCCTGCTCACCAGCACTCAGATCCCAGCAAGCCTCTCAGAGAGCTCATCCCCATCCCCCTTCACTTCCCTCTCAGCTTAGCTCCAACCCTGAAGCACCACCTGGGTTYTTTTGAACCCCAACTGAAGATGGGCTCTGAGCATGACTTTTGATTTTGTATCTTTGCTGTCATACCACATCCCAAGTTTGAAAGGAGGCTCTGATGTAAGTCACTTACATTGTGGTTAGAACTCAGATTCATGGGCTGGGGACATAGCTCAGTTGGTAGAATGCTTGCCTAGCATGCACAAGGCTCTGGGTTCAATCCCCAGGCACCACCGAAACAAACAAACAAAAAACCCCTCAAATTCCTTCATCAGTGCTATTTACATCATATGTCTCACTCTCAGAATGCTAGGCTTTTGCCACTCATTGGAGGGATTTTAGATTAAGAAGCAATTAAAATTCTAGCTGTCCCCTAACCTCCAGGAAGCTAGAGACCTAGAGAAGAAAAAGGTAACTGAGAGAAGGACCTGCAGGAAGGGGAGAAGGCCATGGAATCAGTCTGGGTTGCCTGGCAGGCTCTCCCTGGTTACCAAGGGGGATGGAGGAACCATCTTTAAATCCTGGCTGCAGAATAGGTTTGAAATATTTCCTTTTGTCTTTTTGGTAAAAGCAGGGTCAAAYTTCAAAGAGAACCAGTCTCCTGCAAAAGGTAGTTTAATCCTGCCTTAAGACAGACCAGAGATTATCCCATCCCACTTATTAAGTGGGCTTTCCAAGATTTTCATCTTCACACTGAAGTTAAGATCAGCTTTTCTTTGAATGAGCTGAGGGAGAAGAATATTTCTGATGACTGAAGACAGAGAAGAGTTAGAAAAAAGAAGCAGGGAGAAAAACTGTTCCCTAGGGTTTCACATGAGTGATTTAAATCTGGGTCTGTAATGACAATCAAGGCCCTCAGTATGTGCTGTCCACTAGCCACCCTGTTTCACAACATTCTCCCAATGAACAGAASAGAGGCTCTGTATGCACTGGAAGAAAACCAAAGATATGCACACGAAGTAAAAGCTAAAAATGGAGACAAAAGATTTAGCATCAAATGGGTTGCCACATTTGATGCTAGAGGCAGGATCACATTCTGGGCGAGGCATCTGTCGGGGAGGGAATGAAGAAAGGGAGACCGAGGGTGGGTTCCTCCAGCCCCTCCTGATGTGTCTTGCTCCTTTGTAGATGGGCTGTAAACTATAACCCTGAGTCCTTTCTAGTAAACCACAGAATACGCTGGGAGTCGTGAGACCCCTGACACACATCCCATTCACAACAGTAAGTAGAGTGGAAGAAATTGCAAGAATTTAAGTTCACCAGGAATTTTCAGGAACCCTATGAAGGAAATAAAAAACAACAACTTTGTGATTGATAGAAAGTAATGTTTGCAATGGGAAGACTTTATGTTATAAAGATAGTACATTTTTCTTCCAAATCATTTTAAAAGGATGCTGTCATTTTAACCAAATTCYACTCTCCCAGTACGTAAGATGAATGCATATAATATGTACTCTGTCACACATATGTTCACATATATAAATGTATGTGTGTAATAAGCAACATCTTTATACAAATATGAATATGTGCCTTTTAAAACAAAATGTGTTTGTGAGGGTGGTAAGAGTTTGGAAGAACTTGTCAAAATGATTCAAAAATTCTGCTAGAACAAGGGTTTGCAAACCGTAGCCCTGGGGATAAAATTAACCCACAGCCTGTTTTGTAAACAATATTTTAATAGAAGACAGCCTCCTTTATTATTGTCCACGGCTGCTCTGCACCAGAGCTGAGTACTAGTGTCAGCCCATTATGGCCTGCAAAGTCTAAAATGTTTACCACCTAGCCCTTTGCAGAGAAAGCTTGCTGAGGCTGATATAGAAAAATAAATTGGTGAAAATAGCCAAGGATACTTTGAAAAGGAAGAATAATGACAGTTGGCTTATGCTAGTCAACATAGAAATAAAATATCATAGTTTGGTGCTGAAACAAAGATACACAGATTAAAGCTCAGAAATAGCTTTGAGAGGATATGAGATTTTAACAATCCTAACAGGTAGCATTTTAAACCAGCATTTTACACTATTCTTTTAAAAGAATGGGGTATGTTGGTGGAATAATTATACAAAACTTGAGATAAGAAAATACTCATACTACATATCAAAATTAATTCAATTAYAAATTTAGATGTAAAAAATTATAAAAGAACCAGGAAAAAATGAATTTCTATTTATTCTTGAGGCATGGCCTTTACAGACATAAAAACAAAAGAAACATCCATGGAAAAAGACTAATAGATTGTTAAACATTTTTAAMTTTCTTTATATACCAAAAGAAAACACTATGAATATTTAAAGGCAAACTGGAAAAAGAATTCTCTAACCCACAACAGACAAAAGAATAATATTTTACAAGCAACAGGAGACCCATCTTCATGGGAAAATAAACAAATAGCCCCCAAAATACAACTATTAGTAATTCAAACAAGATACTATGTTTTTTTTTTCTTCACTTAGAGATTTACAGAATCAACAAAGTAGGGTACCAAGGGTAATCAAGCACCCTCAGAGATGGCATTTCCATGCAGATGAACAGGTGTGGGAAGGTAGGCAGGGTTCTGAAGCAATCCTACCTTACAGAGGACATGTCTTAACACAGTAATCCCACCTCTGGAAGGCACCCTGAGGACACATGCAATCCCATGCAAGATTTACAGGTTAGAATGCTTTTCAACAGCACCTGTTGTGACAGTGAGTGAAGACGCTGGGGTGTTACAAGGATCTTTTTTCCTCTTCTTGTGTATACTTAAGGCAGACAACACGATGGCTTGATTGTCTTATCTTGACATGAATGTACATTGAAGTGATTATTACCAAGCAAGTCAACATACCCATCATCATCTCTTGGAAAATTATCAGGACACAATACAGCATTGTTAACCCCAGTCCTCATGTAGCAAGTTAGGTCTCTACACACAATGATGCTTCCAAAGAATATTGAAAGGTTATGAGAARTGCTCACAATACATTAAAAAGAAAATGTTGGTGACAAATAGCACATATTTTTACCTTAATAAGGATAAAATGTTTTACAGGTGTATGTTAGGAAACTGAGCTGGAGGAAAATGCACCAAAATATTAAGTAAGGATCATCTTCAAGTGACAGAATTATGGGGAATTTTAATTCCTTTTTTTGGTGGCTTTTCATAGTCCCCAAATTATCTACAGTGTGTGATATTTCCTTTAAGACAACAGAGAAGTGGGGTTGGAAGTACAGATARAGGGTACAGCACGTGCTAAGCAATATGCAAAGGCCCTGGCTCAATCCCCAGCACCTAAATAAATGGTGGGGGGATCATAAAATTAATACAATTTTTATCTTGAAGATAACAGAAAATAGAAACGATCATTGATCTCCTGTGTTATTAGCCTGGTCCTTCAGGTATATCCTATATGTCTATGGTTGGTTAGAAAGTCTGCTGTCATATATACCTAATTAGAACATATAAATTAATTAATTTTTTWAAAAATGCATTCTGCTGTCATATATAATTAACTAGAATAAATAAATAAATATTTTTTTTTAAAAGGGGGGGAAAAAAAGACCAGGAAGTGCCCTGAGAGCTGAGCAAATGGGCCAGGTACCCCTCTGCGTTGCAGGTCTCCAAGCATATGGTCCCCTGGCCAAGAGCCAGGTGGTCATGAGTGACAACTGCCATGCCTCCAGCAAGGTCCACATGCCCAGAGTCATCCAAA